AAAATAACAAGGAATCAGGAAATAACAATTCAACAGCTGCAAGATGATTCAAAGAAAAACAACATAAGATTGATAGGGATAAATGAAAAAGAAGGGGACAACACAAAGGCTATCAAGAGGATATTTAGAGGAAGTAATAGCTAAAAATTTCCCAAACATGAGAATGGAAACTGACATCAGGATCAGTGAAGTATATAGAACTCCAAATAGCCATAACCAAAATAAAACTACACCCAGACATATAATAATCGCCATCCCAGAAATCCAATATAAGAAGAGAATGTTAAAAACTGTCAGAGAGAAAAGACAGATCACCTATAAAGGAAAACCTATCAGAATCACAGCAGACTTCTCAGCACAAACAATAAAGTCAAGAAGAGCAAGGAGTGCATTATTTCAGATCCTAAAGGAAAATGATTTCCAAGCTAGAGTGGTGTACCCTGCAAAAGTGTCCTTCAAAATCGATGGAGAAATAAGATACTTCCATGATAAAGAACAGCTGGCCAGGGCTAGGGATTTAGCTCAGTGGCATAAGCCGCCTTGCAAGCAGGCGGTCGTGAGTTCGATCCCTGGTACCAATAAAAAAAAAAAAAGAACAGCTGGAAAACTTCATGATCACCAAGCACATACACTTAGGAAAGAACCACTGAGCAATGCAGGCAATTAAACACAATGGAAAGATAAAGATGCAACAGCAAAAAGGTAACATTTCAACAATAAACCAATATATAACAGTTATAACCATTAATGTAAATGGTCTCAATGCACCAAATAAAAGAAACAGACTGGCAGAATGGATCAAGAAACAACATCCAACCATATGCTGTCTACAAGAAACCCATCTAACCCAAAAGGATACTCACAGACTGAAACTCACAGGATGGAAAACAATACTTCATGCAATAGGAACCCCAAAAAAGCGGGGGCAGCTATTCTGTTTGCAGACAATGTGAACTTCATACCAAGAATGATCAGAAGAGATAAAGAAGGTCATTACATACTGGTTAGGAGAAAACGTCAAGAGAAAGAGATAACAATCTTAATTACATATGCACCAAATTCCAGAGCACCCAGTTATATAAAACAAGTATTAACAGGAATGAAAAACCAAGTTAGCAGTAAAACAGTTATAACAGGAGACCTTAACACATCATTAACATCAAAGGACAGATCAACCCGACAGAAAATCAGCAAAAAAAAAAAGAGCTGAATCACACCTGTGAACAAATGGACTTGATAGCCATATACAGAGTGTTCCATCCAACAACATCAGAATACACTTTCTTCTCAGCAGTACATGGGACATTCTCTAAAATAGATTATATAGTAACCCACAGAACATACTTAAATAAATGCAAAAGAATTGAAATTATCCCATGCATGTTATTGGATCATAGCGCCATGAAATTAGAAATTAATGATAAAAGACACCGCAAAAATCCCAAAAACACATGGAACCTGAATAACACACTTGAGTAATTAGTGGGTCACAGGGGAAATTCAAAAAGAAATTAAACAATACCTGCAAGCAAACAAAAATACAAACACAACTTACCGGAATCTGTGGGATGCAGTGAAAGCAGTCCTTAGAGGAAAATTTATTGCACTAAGTTCCCACATCAGGAAAACAGAATAGATACAAATAAATAACCTGACGCTACACCTCAAACATCTAGAAAAAGAAGAGCAAGTCAAGTCCAAAGCCAAAAGAAGGGAGGAAATTATAAAAATCAGAGCAGAAACTAATGCAATAGAGGCTAAGAAAATAATCCAAAGAAGAAATGAAACGAAGAGTTGGTTCTTTGAAAGAATAAGTAAAATTGATAAGCCCCTAGCCAACCTTATTTTAAAAAGGGAAGAAAAAGCTCAAATTCATGCAATAAGGAATGAAAAAGGTGAAATCAATACAGACTCCATAGAAACACAGAAGATCATCAACACCTATTTCAAAAACCTCCACTCTTATAGGTTCGATAACACAGAAGAAATGGACAGATTCCTAGAAACATATGAAGTACCAAAGCGGGGTCAAGAAGATGTAAAACTGCTGAATAACCCAATTTCTATTAATGAAGTTGAAAATATAATTAAATCCTTACCTACAAAGAGCCCAGGCCCAGACGGATTCACTGCAGAATTCTACAAAAAGTACAAGAAGACTTAATGCTGACACTCCTCAAACTCTTCAATGAAATTGAAAGGGAAGCAATCCTTCCTAAGTCATTCCTGGAAGCAAATATTACTCTAGTACCAAAACCTGAGAAAGACCCAAATAAAAAAGGGAACTACAGGCCAATCTTCCTAATGAATATAGATGCAAAAATCCTCAACAAAATGTTTGCAAATAGAATACAGCAAATCATCAAGAAGATTATACACCATGACCAAGTGGGATTCATCCCAGGCATGCAGGGATGCTTCAACATATGGAAATCAATAAATGTCATCCACCATATCAATAAAGCCAAAAGTAAGAATCACATGATGATCTCTATAGATGTAGAAAAAGCTTTGGATAAGGTCCAACATTCATTTATGATAAGAATCTTACAGAAAATTGGACTAAATAGTCTTTACCTCAATATAATAAAGGCCAAGTATGACAAACCAATGGCCAGTATCATACTAAATGGCCAAAAACTCAAGGCCCTAAAATCAGGCACAAGTCAAGGATGTCCCACATCACCACTCCTATTTAGTATACTACTGGAAATACTAACCAGCAATTAGACAAGAGAGAGAAATAAAAGGGGTAAATTTAGGAAAAGAAGAAGTTAAATTATCATTATTTGCGGATGACATGATACTCTACAAAGACCCTCAAAACTCCATTGAAAGACTCCCAGATGTAATAAATAAATTCAGCAATGTAGCTGGATACAACGTCAATGCTCAAAAATCAATAGCATTTCTATACACTAACAACAAAATCACAGAGAGAGAAATAAGAGAAGCCACACTCTCCACACTAACAACTAAAAAAATGAAATATTTAAGAATTATTTTCACGAAAGAAGTGAAAGATCTATATAGGGAAAATTATAATACAATGAAAAAAGAAATTGAGGAGGATCTCAGAAAATGGAAAGACATCCCTTGCTCATGGATAGGAAGAATAAATATTGTGAAAATGGCCATTCTCCCAAAACTGTTATACAGATTCAATGCAATCCCAATAAAAATATTATCAATATACCTCATAGATCTAGAGAAATCACTCCTAAAATCCATCTGGAACCAGAAGAGACCTAGCACAGCAAAGACAGTTCTAAGCAGCAAAGGCAAAGCAGGAGGCATCACAATCCCTGACTTAAAGTTATACTACAAACCAATTGTAGTAAAATCAACATGGTTCTGGAATTAAAACAGAGCCGAAGATCAGTGGAATAGATTAGAAGATACAACCACAACTACAAACACACTCAACTACCTTATCTTTGATAAAGGGACCAAGCATGTTCACTGGAAGAATGACAGTCTCTTTAATAAATAATGCTGGAAAAACTGGCTCTCCCTATGCCGAAAACTGAAACTAGGCTTATCACTATGTACTAAATTAAAATCTAAATGGATCGGGGCTGGGGGTTTAGCTCAGCGGCATAAGCGCCTGCCTTGCAAGCAGGCAGTCGTGAGTTCGATACCTGGTACTGATAAAAAGGAAAAAGACAAAAAAAAAAAACATTAAAAAAAATCTAAATGGATCAAAGATCTGAATATTAACATAGAAACACTAAATTTATTGGAAGACAAACGGTAAAAATCTTGAAGACATAGGGGTAAGTAGAGAATTCATGAACAGGAATTAAACCGCATGGGAAATACTTCCCAGAATCAATAACTGGGATCACCTTTTATTAAAAAGTTTTTGCATGTCAAAAGAAATCTCCAGCATAGCGAAAAGAAAACCCACAAACTGGAAAAAAAATCTTAGTGAACTGTCCCTCAGACAAAGGACTTCTGTCTAAAACATACAAAGAATTAAAAAACATCAGACCCCCAAAATTCAAATGGACATCTGAGATGAATACACAATTCTCAGATGAAGAAATACAAATGGCAAATAAATACATGAAAAAATGTTCATCATCATTACTCATTAGAGAAATGCAAATTAAAACCACACTGAGATTCTATCTCACTCCTGAAAGAATGGCCAGGATCAAGAAAACCACGAAAAACAAATGCTGAAGAGGCTGTGGGGGAAAAGGAACTCTCCTGCACTGTTGGTGGGAGTGTAGACTGGTACAACCACTGTGAAGGTCAGTTTGGAGATTTCTCAAAAAGCTGGGATTGGAAGTCCCATTTGTTCCAGCTATTCCACTTCTAGGCGTATTCCCAGAACTGAAAACATCATACCACAGTGATATATGTGCACCCATGTTTATAGCAGCACAATTTGTAATAGCCAGATCTTGGAAACAACCTAAGTGTCCATCAACTGAGGAATGGATAAAAAAGTTGTGGTATTTTTATGCAATAGAGTACTACTCAGCTATAAAGAATGATTGAGATATTTATAAATAAGTGGACGCAGCTTGAGACCATACTCATAAGTGAAATAAATCAAACTCACATGTATAAATACCGAATAGTTTCCCTAGTGTAAGAAATGGTAAGAACACATAAAATTATGTGGTAATCATGATTCCCCATTAAATTGTTTTGAAGCCTTATAATGTTTTTCATTCATTAATTGGAATGGTTTTATTCTGGGGTATTTAATTTTATTGTCTGTGATGGTATGAACAGTTATTTTGAAGAAAATAAGACATTATAAGAGCTAGTGGTGATTTAATATCAGCTTGTTTTGAAGTCCCATCAAGCTTTTGTTCTTCTCTCTCCATCGGTTTTATTATATGCGATAGTATAAACAAAATTTTTTACAGTCAAGGAGATAATATAGAAAAAAAAGAAATGTCATCTACTAAACATGTACTGTTGTGTTCATCTCTGGGAGCTGAAGAGTTATTCGTATAAACCTCACAGACCCTGCCCCTTACCTGCTCTATCTCTGGTTTATCCGTCACCACTGGTTACTCCTGGAACTGTATCCACCAGCCTCAAAAGGAAGGAGCTGCACTGGATGGGATGGGTTAATAGTGGTAGAAACACAGCTTATAAATCCGTCCCTGAAGAGGCAAATCAGCATCTCTAGGGACACGATGAAGAATCAGTTCTCTCTGCAGTTTTCCTCTGTGACAACTAAGGATGTAGCCATGTGTTACTCTGCAAGAGACACCGTGAGAGGACATCAGTGTGAGCAGTCACAAACCTCCCTGTAGGAACGCTCAGCACCAGCAGAGAGCGCTAAAGACCCACTGAACTCCTGGCGATGGTGGGGCAGAAGCAGTGCAGAGGAGGAAGCTTAGGAGGCTTTATGTGAAACATCATGTGATCTGCGGCGTCCCTGGTGCATATCTACTACTGACTTATGAAAAATCACTTCCAAAGAAATAGATGGTATTTCATTAAAGTTTAATTCATATCTGTGCGTTTTGTTACTCATTTATTTCTGTCCATGCTTTTTTATATGAACCTTACTAAAAATCAAATACATCTTATATCACCCAAAAGAGACTGCGAATTTCCTTGGTCAGGTGAATGAAATTTCAAGTCATCATCATCTGAAAATTCATACAGCCCGGTGCCGTGGCACTCCTTTGTAATGCCTTGTAATGCACTCAGGAGGTGGGGACAGAAGAACTTCTATGACTTCAGATCGGTTCGGTCTACACAGTGACTTCAAGATCAACTTGGACTGTACTGAGACCCTGCCTCTAAACAATGGATAATGTTAAAAATAATCACCCATCACCCCCTGAATGTTCTAAATGCCCCTGCAGGGTTCTTTGTGTCTAGGCTCACACTGAGGTCCTCTCTCTTTGTGTCTTGCACAGTTAGACAGCAAAGTCCACATTTGCATAGATTTAAATTTGCAGAGAAGAATAATAGACCTGCTCCACCGGCTCAGCTCCAACACAGTGTGCAGCCCTACGCTCAGGGGAAAAGGGAAGAGGAGCAGCCAGACTGGACTTGGGACAGTATCCAGAATGCTCTCTCTCCGTGGTAGCTGTGCAGGACTGTGACCTGCACTCACTCCAAGGAACTTGGCAATTAGCCTTATTTCTATTACACATAGTCTCTTCATTTCTCTTCCCCTCCCCACGTCTCTCACACACATACACACACACGTTTCCATGCACATATCCATTTCATTTTTTAAAAATACATTTAAACTTGAAAACTTACATTTTCACAAAATTCGTTCCAGTGGAGTCCACCCTTACATTTACAGGTTTCTCCCCTCACGCTTTTGGTAGACAATGAAGCAGGAGCCAATCAGCGACAAAGGCGGGCTGTCTGAACTACCCAATCAGGAGGGCCAAGGGGGCGGGCACTTCCTGTATCATGGAGCTGGTCAGGCCTGTGCGTACCTGGCTGAGAGGACCCGGCTGCCTAAACTGCCTTGTTCTGTGATTTCTACTGGCTGCAAGCTGCATTCAGAAAGACCTGGGAGAGCCTCAAGCACGCAATGGTGACGTCGTGGGACGGGAGCTGGGGGTGGGGCGGAATCGGGTGCTTTGGCCACAGCGATGCAGAAGTGGTCACGCTGTGTAGTTCACCCTGGTCGAACCTGTGTAACTCAGTCTGACCTTAAATTCGCAGCGATCCTCCGGCCTCAAGCCTCGCTACAGCTGGGGCTTAGGGGTATGCGCCACCACACCCAGTCCACCCAGAGTACCTCGTAGGCCGGTCTCAGACACAGCTTTGTTCCACCGCTCTGCCGAGAGCCTGAGCCTTGCGAAAACCCTGGGTTTCATACTCGGCAATGAGAAAATCATCACTGTAATGTTTTACATCAGACCGCTACTTTCAATTGTATTGTTACTCCACGAACAGAGCTTGTGGTCGCCAACATCGAGGAATGAGGTCGCAAACCAAAAGAAGGATGTTAGAGAACTTTTTTTTGAAATAAGAATGGCTCCCTCATTTTTGGGAGTGCCCCCAGTGAGTGGCCTTGTAGTCCTGCAATCCGGAACAAATACAGAAAAGGGGAGCATAGTTTAATGGGGGAATATCACAGATGCCTCTGTTGATTTAAAACAACTCCCTTGGAATTGGGCTTTCTAAACCCATTTCATTAGCATACACTGTTAAAAAGAAACATTTTAGAGAAGCTCTGGTATTTTGTATTTTAAATTCCTGGAAATTCAGGAGCTTAGTGGGGAGGGGCTGCAACTCCTTTTAGTAGAGGTGGCTGCATTCTTTGTTGGGCAGAAAGTTCACTCTTGTTCTCACAGTCTGGGTAATGCTATTCTCATTTTAACTCTTATCAAAATTATTAATTTCCCAGCTCTTATCTCTGGCCCTTCCCTTCAGCTAGATACTTTATTTACACACTATTAAAACAAATTATTCTTTATATTTGGACTACTTAAACGGAGCAGACCATAGAGTTTAGAATGCTGAGAAAGATCCAGGGGATATTAATGGAGGGGAAATGTTTCCTCGAGGGGCTGCCTATTAAACCCACCACACTGAGAGATGCTTTGAACTGGGACTTCTACAGAGTGATGTACATGTGATATTGGTATGATTGGAAAGGTAAAGAGGAATCACCTCTAAAATAATTATTTTGTAGTCTATGGACTATTTTTAGGCATTGTTTTAAAAACTGAAAAAGCAAATGAGTTGTTTATATAAAAGAAGTACTTGGCCAGGCATGTAAATCCGTGCTCCACAGACTGATGCAGGAGGATCTCTCTGAGTTCCAGACCACCCTGGGCTATGAAGTGAGTTCAAGGCACCCCGAACTGCATAGTAAAACCTTGTCTCAAAGAGAAAATTACTGAAATAGGGGTAAATTTCCATAGTTTCAGTCAATTGGCATGTGACTGAATAGAATAGAAAAGTTTTTTGAATAGCCAAGAGTAGATGAGAATGAAACTGAAATGGGAATCCATGGAATTTGGGGATGGGACAAAGATCAGCAGCTACAGCAATAAATGTCTCCAGAAGTCAGGTTGTTCTTAGTGTGATAAAATAAAAATTCTCCGCAGGCTTGATCAGAGATTAGGTCAAAGGTCACAGGCCTAAAGAAAAGAGGAGGGTTTAGTAACAGATAAATATTTCTTCTGTGACTACTGATCAGTTTACCTAATCATTTTCATGGCACATTAGAAATTAGGAAACTGGTCTTTTTTTAGGTTTAAAAATAGTACAGACTTCATCACTAATGTAGAATAAAGGGTTTGTCTTGGATACAAAAGATTTCAAGGTGAGTTTGATCTTTTTCATCGTTCTGGGAGTGAATTTAGGAATTTTATCCTGAGAGTTTTTCTTTCTTTCTCTTTGTGTGTGTGTGTGTGTGTGTGTGTGTGTGTGTGTGTGTGTTTGTGGGTGTGTAGATATTAAGTTCCCCAGGGTTGGGAGAAGTTTGGATAGTTTCAATATCCATGACTCGTGGTAACATAGACATGTGTCACCTTGCCAGTTTAAGATTGAGGGTTTTTTATTTTATTTTAGAATTTCGTGGCTTCTTATGATTCCTTTGCTCACCTCCCGGCTGTAACACATCATGTCCTGCACTGGGACAGTGAAAGTGTTGTGGAACATCAGGATCTGTTTAATTTTCTGAGTGTAGGTTTTCTTGTGAACTATGATAAAGCAGACTTCCCCACTGAATATTCTTTGTGCTTATTTTGCCACAAAATGTTTGAAGTTTTTGGAAGCTGTCTCAAGGGTTTAAGTTATTTTTATGATGTAACCATAAAATTAAGATTTTCTTCTTTGAAACCAAATAGAGAGAATGGTCACATCTGAGGAATCAAAGAACAATTTAGAAGTAAATTGTTCGTCTTACATTTAATGTAAATATGTGTAAACATCCAAAGGATGATGATGCAGGTGAATGAATCAATGAAGTTTGAATCCAGTGCATCTTTCTGATTTTATGTAACTACCCACAAAAGTCAACCCTGCTGCTGGTTATAAGCTGTGCCTACTATGTGCCTGTTTGCCTACCTCAGTGTTACAATTTGTTCATTAGCCACACTGATTGTGTTTATCATATAGATGTGTCCTGGAATGTATTTACTCATGGCAATTATAGTGACAATAATGGTTTGCTACATTGCCTTGTGTTCATTGAGTGTAATTCAAGAAATTGTTTCACATTTTTCCTCATAAATTAGGCCTGAAGGGAGAGGAAATTTTACTCACTATGGGTGTATTCTGAGAAGTAGGTTAGCCCTTTTTATCTACTCTTTTTTTTTTTTTTTTCTTTTGCTCTGGACACCACTCCTAAATTTTTATTTGGCTGCTATTTTGAGCATCCCTCATAAGGAAGGAAAATGTATTCTCTGTGTATACCATTTACCTTTCTGACAAAAATTTTAACCAACAGGCCTCTAGAATTAACAATATAATTCCATACTCTAGAAGGATTCAACATGAAATAGAATCCTGTATACCAATAATGAATTTGCTGTGTAATTATTTTAAAAATTCAGAATATTATCCCTTTCTCTCAAAAACCCTCATTATTATGGGTCTTCTACACCCAGAAACTATGCCTTTTGAATTTAGGTAGGTATTTTTTGCTCAACTTTGCCCAGTCAGTTAACTCAAGTAATCTGTCCAAAATGTACAAATGATATTTTGATTTAACAGTAACATCAATGACAAAGGAATTTTGTCAATAGTGGGTTTTTAAATTATTGTCTTACTTTAAAAGAATAAAACAACTATAAGATGAAACAGTGATAACACGTGGGAAATCCACAGTGGTTACTATATTACATATTGTTAACGTCCCTAGTTGTTTAGAACACCAGCTTTGGATTTGCATAGTCAATCAAACAGTACAAGTGTTAGGTTGTTTCTTCAGTTGTTTTCATTTTAGCCTGTGTTTCTGAATCAGCTGGTTGCTTATGGATGGGAGGACCTCTTTCAGGGTTTTCCCTGCCTGGCAAGGCCACCACTGCCACACTGGGCATAGCTTTGTTCCTGGTTCTCCTGAGCTAGCACGGACGGCTGCTGCTGGTGCACTGTGTACTGTGCAGTTTCCTTGGCTCTGCCTAACTGGCAGGACTGCTGCTGGTGCATGTGGAGCTGCGTGGCTTCTTTCCTGGTTTTCCCCAGCTAGCAGGCCTGCCATTGACACACAGGGGGCCTGCATAGCTTCTTGGTTCTCCCCAGCTAGCAGGGCCATGCATCAGGAGCTACATAGCTTCCTTCCTGGTTTACCCTAGCCAGCAGGACTGCCACTGGCAAATGGGGCTACATAGCTTCCTTCCTGGTTCTCCCCAGCCAGAAGGGCCACCACTGACACACAGAGGCTGTATAGCTTCCTCTTGGTTCTCCTTGGCTAGCAGGACCCTGGGTTTTTTGAGAGGCAGAAATAATAATTTTTAATATCAGAGGAAAATGCCTGCATTCTATTCCCTGATACTGGCAGTGTCATTGTCTTTGATAATTATTTCTTTTATCCAGGAAAGTAATATAATGGCATAATGGAACATTTGGAAAAAAAAAAAAGAAAAAGAAAGGAAAAGTAACAGTTTAGTAAAAAGAAGAAATTTCCTAATTTATGATTCAGATTGTTTATTTTATGAATTTTTCAGAAAAATCTTATGCTGGTTCCTTTTTATTATCCATAAGGAACACTGTCTCGTATTTGAGTTATGTGACAAGTATTTGAAAACACATAGCCTTATACAAATGGTAAGCATGAGGCCAAATTGGTCTCCTTGAACTGTATTTTGCCTTTCTTCCTAACAGTTAAATATTTTGTAAAACATATTATACAGGATTCTTCCACTAATGATGTGGTATTTACTTTGTTATCCACCTATAGTAACATGAAAATATAAATGAGCAGTGAATGCAATACTCGTAATGCAGTATATATTGTATAGGTTGCTATAAGCCTAGTCTAGTTTAGAAACATAAATTAGTTCTCAGTAGAATCCTATCATCTAAAATTATGCATACTCTATATCTAAAATATCTGAGATAATACATAGAATGTAATACACTGCAGAATGTGATGTCAATTTTTTACCCTAGAAAAATGCAGTGGATTTTCCTGCAACTTGTTTCTGCTTCTTACGGTAACCAGGAAGATATACAGTATGTATTGTTATCACTATTCCAGCCAGTAATAGAGCGTTTAAAATACAAGGCTTTTTTTTTTTTTTTTTTTTTTTTTTTGGTCTTTTCCCTTTTTATGGTATCAGGGATCAAACTCATGACTGCCTGCTTGCAAGGCAGGCACTTATGCTGCTGAGCTAAATCCCCAGCCGCCAGGCATTTTTTATTAAGTTCATTGATAAAATTTAGAAACACATAGTGATGATATCATCTGGAATTTGTTCCTATACATGGTATACCTTGATGCCTATTTGTTTCCATTCCCTTCCATTAAATCAGTCTTCCCTCCTTATTTATAAATCTGTTTCTATTTTGTGTTTATTTCTCAATTTTTTTCTTTTCCCTTCCTTACTTTCCTTTTCCCCTATTCCAGACTCCACTTTCTTTTTGAAAAATTTCTTCACATTTCACAGTGTCTAGTATACATTTTTTTTTACTTACGCTTATAATTTCTCACAACTTAGAAACAGTGGAACAGTTACACATGCATGCCTGATTTGTTTCTTCACTGAACAATATGGTTGCAAGGGTTGTCACTTTAGCTATAAAGTAACAATCCATTGTATTTTTTTAAAAAAAAAAAAAAAAAAAAAAAACATCATTTTTCATCACTTGAGGGGCTTCAGAGGTATTTCCAAGATTTAGGTATTACAAATCATGCATTTGGGTGCATTCAAATCACTGTAGTAGGATACTTTTATTTCTTCTAGGAAGATACCAAGGAGCAAATAAATGGGACAAATGGAAACTTTAGTCCTCATTCGTTCAAGAATCAAGAGCATCTCCTCACTAATTCCAAAGAGGTTACGCCTCTCTACATGCACCAACAATAAAAATGTGTTTCTTTTCCCATTGATTCTGCCAACATTTGTTATTGATTCATTTCTTCATAATAGCCATTCTTTGTGGTGTGAGATGGTATCATGGTCTAGGTTTTCTGGGATTATCCACCACTACCATAATTCTGTTGCTTTGCTGCAATCAGTCAACACATATCTGTCCAACCACTGTCAAATAATGACTCCCTGAAGTGGACATTTGTTTTTTTTGGTTTTCTTTTTTTTTTTTTTTTATGTTATTTAAATTTATTTCATTTTTTTTCAATGTTGTTGATGCTTTGTCCTTGTTTTATTTGTTTGTTTGATTGGTTGGTTTTTTTGTTTTTGTTTTTGTTTTGGTACCAGGGGTCAACTCAAAACCTCACACTTTCCAGCCAGGTGCTTATGCCACTGAGCTAAAGCTCCAGGCCTCTTTGTCCTTGTTTTGAGTGAACACTCTGTTTCTACCATTTGTTGTTATTATGTGTCATTCTTTTTTGTTTCTTGTTTTTTCCCGTCCTCACTTCTTTACCAGGTCCCAAAGATTGTGTAATCTTCTTTTGTCCTCTAGCCTTGCTTCCAACGTCTTCTTCTTTGATTTTTCTATTTCTCCTTTAAATCCTTATAAACTTTTTCCTCTCTCTGGGTAATGTGGCCATATTGAGGGAATATTTACTGAGCAAAAATTTCTAGTTTCTTTTATATTTTGTTATATAACTATAAATCTTGTTCATATGGTTAAAGATGACAAATATTTGCTATAATTGTCATTTTCAAGGATGTGTTTGATGCTTTTATTAAGACTGTGCTACTTGAATTGTATTAATCAATTGTTCTTTCTTTTCTGCCAAGACTGTTTGCTTGAGGGTCATAAACAGTACTATAGGACAATGCCAAAGAAACACGGGCTACACCAAATATGGAGCAATTTCTCATGTCCTATGCACTGAAGAAGTAGGATCTTACAGCATACTGGAAACTGAAAAGCCAACTACAAATGGAAAACAGCTCTGAAAAGTAGTCTATACCCAAGTGTTCTTTATATTACCAGTAATGATATCAAACATAACTATTTTGAAGCTTTATTTCAGGAATTAAAGTAAAAAGAAAATAGAAAATGAGGAGACATGCATTCAACATGCATCCTCAGACTTCATGCTCACTAAAGGAGAACCCAGTGACGAATTAGATGAGATGACTGAATAGCTACCTACCTGGATTCTCTGAAGTGGCAGCAGTAAAAGCAAGGAAATGAATGAGGCTCAAGAAAAAAATCAAATAGGGGCTGGGGATTTAGCTCAGCGGCATAAGCACCTGCCTTGCAAGCAGGCAGTTGTGAGTTCGATTCCCAGTACCGATTAAAAAAAAAAAAAAAGACAAAAAAAAAATCAAATCAATAATTTCTCACTTAAGAGATGATAACCAAATAAAGGGCATATTTAGTGAATCAAGAAAAGATAATACAAAATTTTTAGTAAATGAGTAAAATGATAGAAAATTTAGTAAAATGATAGAAACTATGAATGCCCAACATTGGAAAAGAATGGAATGAATGAAACACATTTAAATAGAAATTTAGGAGATTTAAATTCTATTGAATGCATATGCAACAGAATGAATCAATGTGAGGGTAGAATATCAGATCCAGAAGATCAGATTGAGATTACCAATCATGAAAAATAAGGTTTCCTTAAAATTGCAAGGAAGGGGCAGGGGATGTATTTCAGCATCACAGTGCCTGGTTGGCAAGCATGAGACCCTGTTCAGTTCATGGTGCCAAAAGTAAAATAACAAGGGACCTCCCAAAAAACAATCCAATAGCTTCAAGATGTTGCAAAGAACAATATAAGTGGATCAGAGTCAGTGAAAATCAGAGACACATGTCAGACAGCACAAATGTCAGGAAAAAAAAATGCCTGTTTATGATGGCAGAACTTACCAAGCATAGAAAAAGAGATTGACATATGGATCAGTGAGGCATATAAAGCTGCAATTAGCCATGACCAAAATAAATCTACATCAAACCATGTAATAGTCAAGATTCCAAAACCATGTGTGGTGGTCCATGCCTGTAATCCCAGCAACTCAAGGGTCTGAGACAGGATGATCACTTTGACTTCAGTGTCAGCTTGGGCTAAAAATGGTGTTTAAGGCCATTCTGAAAAGCACAGTAAAGCCTGTCTCAAAAGATGAAAGGGAAAAAAAGATACCAGAAATTCAGCACATGAACTGAATATTAAAAACTATTAGGGACAACAAATATCATACAAAAGAAAGCCCATCAGAATCATACCAAACTTTTTAATACCAACAATTACTCAAAGAAGGTTCCCGTGTATTTCAATTCTTTAAAAAAAAAACTATCCAAAACAGATTGACGCACCCCATAAAACTGTTCAGACTCAATATAGAAATGATACTTCCACAAAAATGAAAAGTGAAGAAACTTCTGAAAACAAAGCCAAAAATACAAAATGTCTGAAGGTTTTTTCACAAAGAGATAAAGAAGACTATACTTCCATGAACACCAATAGAAATAATCCACCAATTAGGCAAGAAATTAAAACAGAAAGGAAAGACTGGGAATCAACTGCAGGAAAATAATATGACTAAGACAAGACAGTAAACATCAATAGTTACCAGCAATGTAAATCTCTTAATTACCAATCCCCCCAACATAGTGACACAATAGGTCAAGAACTAAATCCAAGTCTGGGGATTTAGCTCAGCGGCATAAACACCTGCCTTGTAAGCGCGTGGTTGTGAGTTTGATCCCTGGTATCGATAAAAAAAAATCAAAGAATATGATGCAAAAAGAAACCAATTTAAATAAAAAAGTTTCGTAGACTGAAAGTCAAAGGGTAAAAAAGAGTTCTGAAGATGGTGGGAACCCAGAGCTGGATGTGGTGGCTCACACCTGTAATCCCAGCACTCGGGAGGCTGAGGCAAGAGGATCGTTGCGAGTTTGAGACCAGCCTAGGCTACAAAGTGAGCTCAAGGGCAGTCTGAACTGCACAGCAAGACCCTGTCTCAAAAAGACAAAAAAAAAAAAAAAAAAGGGAAACCAGAAAAAAAGTATCCGTCCTATATCATTTGCAGTCAATGTGAACTTCAAGAGACTTCAAGAGATGCAAAAGATCACTGTATACTTTTTGAAGGAAAACTCTACAAGGAAGATTTAACAGTCATAAAAATATACTCACAAATACCAGTACACTTAACTATATAAATCAAATGTTTACAAACATGAAAATTAGACACTGACGCAAATGAAGTGGAGGGTCTTCCTCTTCCCAATTTGTGTACTGAAAAAATATAGCAAAACTTATGGGATGCTATGAAAATGATCATATGAGTGAAAAATATAACCAGAAATAACCATATCAGGAAAACTGAAGGATCTAAAATAAAAAGCCTAATGTTTGAAACTTAACTTCTAGAAAAAATAAGTGAAGCCAAATGCTTATATGAAGGAGGAAATTATAAAGCTCACAGTATAAATTCATTGAATTCAGACTAAGAAATCAAAAGGAATCTATGAATTAAAGAGATGATTCCTTGAAAGTTTAAATAAAATTGACAAACACTTGGTAAACATATATCAAAAAAGGAAAGAAAAAACTCATATCCATGAGACTAAGAGTGAAAATGTGGAAGCCCAATGGATTTGCCTGAAATACAGAAGTTCATCAGTACCAAATTTGAGAACAAATAAAAAATATTAACAAAAGAAATAGATATTTTGGTAGCAACTTCTAAATTACCAAAGCTGAATCAGGAGGATATAAACATTCTAAATAATCCAGCATCAGTGAATTAACTTGAAGTACTTTTAAAATTACCAATAAATAAATAAAATCCCAGATATGGAGGGATTCATTGCTGAATTCTACAAGAACTTTACAGATCTAATTCCACTACAGATGAAACGCTAATGAAATTAAAAGAGAAGCAGTACTTGCGGAGTCTTTCTTGGAAAGAAGCACTATCATGATGCAGAAATCAGAACGACTCAACCAAAAAACAGCTACAGGACAATATCCTAAATGAACATACATGCAGATATTTCTGAGACACTGGCAAGCAATTCATCAAGAAGTGTAAAATAAAAAGAAGTTTATACATCATTCACAAGAAAGATTCATCCCAGCTGTGCAAGGATTGTTCAACATAAGACAAATCAGTAAATGCAATATACTATGTCAACAGAATCAAGGGCAAAAAACACATGATCATAGCAGAGAAAGCGTTTGACAAAAACATTCATGATTTTAAAAAGCTACACAAAATTAGAAGACATGGTAGTAATCTCAAACAGTGTATATCATACTAAATGCTAAAAATTAAAATCATTGTAAAATAAGGAAAAAGACATGAATGTCTTTGGTTCTTTGGGTAGTACACTGATTTTGGGAACAACATTTTTTTGTTACAGAATTGGTTAGTGCTCAGCAAACAATACGCACTGGTATTCAAAAGAAAAATTGGGGAAAGTCAAATAGGTCAAACTTCAACTGTTGTGGGTGCTTGTTTCTGCTCAGTAATGAGATCTTGGACGAGAGCAGTTTCATCCTGTTAAGATGACTCACTGTGATAATGTCCAGATTCAAGTATCTGAACTTTTCATGTTTCCCAAGGTCACCATCTTTGTTGAGTTACTTTGGACTGCAGAGGCACTGAGAATTTTGTGACAATAGGAGTATGTTTAACCTTCTGAGTATGGGTTCACTTTGTGAATGGCACCAGCTTTCTATTTGCTCTTTCTTTCCAGCAAGTTTTGTTTAAAATACAAGTTACCCCAGTGACTTAAAAACTACTTTTCAAGATTTCACCTTAACATTATACTTTATAATATTGATTATATGTGAAGAAACAAAGAAATACATGCAATTATATGTTTTGCATTTCTCATAAGTATATGTAAAGATCCATGGACTTAATGATGAGTGTGAGTAGATCAACTGTTTACCTCCACAATGTTTCCCTGATTTCATATAAATAATAAGTAGCCATAGAATAGAAATTTGTAAGCTCTTTCGCCCTTAAAAATATCATCAAGCAAAACTTTTATTTGGTTTCAGCATTTCAAAGTGGAATGAATTAAGGCCGACAATTGGCTCAGTGGCTTAAGTGCCTATCTGGTAAGCATGAGGTCATGAGTTCTATCCCTAGTAACCAAAACAAACAAAACCAAATTGGAATGCATTAATTGAGATTATTTCATTTTGATTACACAAAGTTTCTATTGGATAGCCTAGTGAACATAGTACTGCAGGGAAGTTCATATTTCTGACATTTCACTCCACTACTCGACTGCCTCTGGACTTGTGTTATTTCAAATTTGGTTTCTTTTATTTCTTGTCTATCATGTATTTTAAAATGTTAATACTGACTCTCTGTAAGTGATAAACTAGTATTTTTGTTAGACAAAAAACATACTGGTGTCCAGATAATAAGATTCAACATTTATACAAATGTTCATATGTAAAGACCAATATATACAAATGAATTTGAACTTTTCTATTGGTAAATTGCTATTAAATATATCAAATTTATCAAAAAATTTTGATGAGATTTAATAATAACAATGTAAATATACTTGGTGTATTCAAAACATTTCACCATTGAGCATTGGGTAGTAGATGAGAATATACATATAAAACTCCCACTGACTCAAACTTTTCATGCTGTCTTTTTGTCCACTCATTCTTTGTGACTTTGCCTTAGTTTACTGTGTGTAACTTTCCATGAATAATGTTGTTTTAGTTTCTTTTCATGTAGTTTTCAGTAGTAATCATAAATAGCATGGAAGGGCTGGGGATTTAGCTCAGCAGCATAAGCACCTGCCTTGCAAGCAGGCAGTCGTGAGTTCGATCCCCAGTACCGATTAAAAAAAGAAAAAAAAAAGTTTAAAAAAATAGCATAGGGAAATATTTTGGAAATTTTTTTGTCTCGGTATTGACAAATGCTGATGTGTGAATCAAGTGAAAAATACATTCACAATTATGTTGGTCATAAGTTTTTTTGAAATATAACAGCACAATGTATTCTCTGGGCAATGTTAAAAGAATTTATTGTTCTTTTTTTGGCAAACAAAAAAAATTAATGCATCAGTTGGTTCTCCCTCCTTGTATAAGTCTTAATGTGTTTCATACCTCAGTCTTATTTTATTTCATTTCATTTGTTTTCTTTCGTTTTATTTTTTGGTGCTAGAGATAGAACTCAGGACCTTGCACTTACCAGGCAAGCGCTTGAACCACTGAACTAAACACCCAGCCCCTCTTCAATTTTATTTGATTTTGTGAAGATTTGATCTTTTATATTTACTGCTTCTCTTGATTCATATGTTTTATATTTTTTAGATATTTGTGTTCCTTGAATCTTTATCTGAACATAAAACTTTTATTGTGTACACAGCAAAAATTTTAGTCTTTGTTTATTTCCTATGGTTGTCATAGGAAATTTAGTTTCTTGAATTCTGATGTCTACTTGTATCTCTGAGGAAACTTTTGGTATCAAAAAATTACTGCACTATAAAATCCTAAGATATTCATCTTTCCTTTTCAATACATAATTTATGTACATAAAATAGAAGAGTATACAGTCTAGATTTCCAAATACATACCTGTTTCTCCATGAACATAAATAAAACATACTGTGGTTACTTTCAGATATGTTTAACACAAGGTATATCATGATTCACAGTTCTATTTGTATGTGCAACCACAAAAGGCTGCTTTTCTTTTTGGAGATCCATTTGTGATTCCCTCTACTAATTGCAGATTATAACAAAAGCTGTAACATGAATGTTTTATGTAAAGTATTCCACCTTTCACTTTGCTCATAAGGTGCTGAGTATTGTCAGTTTTCTATTGTACTGCACAATTGCAACTTTTTGAGCAGAGCAAAGGAGTGAATTATAAGTGATGTGATCTTTAAGTTTTCCTTTTGTGGTTTTAGTATGGCATAAGATTTCACTTTAAAATCCTGACAGGCCCTAAATTTACCTCATAACTGGGGTACTTGGAAATTCTCCTGCTTCAGCCTCCCAAGTGCTGAGATTGCAGGCTTGTACCACCACAACTGGCTGAAGTTTTCCTCTTTTAATTAGTGCCTAATTACTTCGTGATGTCTTCATTTTTAATTTGTATAATGTTTTATTCATATTCTTCCCCTAATTAAGATAATTTTGACAATCATAGGATTTCTTGTATCTAGGTGCAAGTGATCATTTGATATTATTGAACTGAAATATGCCCCTTGATTGACTTGCTTCATGAATACCATTTTCCATTAGCATTTTAATATTTTTATCAATGTTTTTTATTGGCACATGTTAGATATACATACTGATAGCATTCATCTTGAGAATTTGTATCTGTTCATGGTATGTCTTCTTTTTTTTTCTACTCTTCTCCCCTCCCTTCAGACCCACTTCTCCTCTTTATTTATGATACTGTTTTATATTTGTCCCTTTCTTTCATGTCATTTATCCCTCCATTTTTTCCCTATTCATTTAAAGAATTTATTTTCAACTTCCTTAAAAAATAAAAACCAGAGAATCCATTTGACCCAGCAGTTTGCTTTCTTTCTCTTGCTGCAGAAGACCTAAAAGTATCTGACCACAGTGATGTCTATTCACCCATGTTTCTACTGACACAGTCTGTAATACATGACTCTTAAAAACAGCCTAGAAGCCCACTGACTGATGAGTAGATGAAGAAGATGTGGGTGTTTTATACAGTGTAGTACTACTGTGCATGAAGACTAAGCTTAAGATAATTCTAGTTAAGTGGGTGGGCATTGAAATTACACTGAAATAAATTGGACACATGTGTGTAACTATTATGTAATTTCTCTGTTGTGAAAAATCAGTGAAAATAAGGAAAAAAAATACATATTCTTTATTTAATGTTCAATTAAGTTTTTTCCAGGAAAAGATTCACATTTGAAAAGGCTGCTTATGAACAGTATAGCAGAAATTAACTTAAATTTCTGAATAATTAGATTTTTTTAAAAAAATTTTTTTGGTGTCGGGAATTGAACTCACAACCTTACACTTGTCAGGCAAGCGCTGACACTGCTGAGCTACATTTCTGGCTCTGAATAATTAGATTTAAAAGGACTTATAATCTATGATCTGTCATAACCCTTGAGGATATATTTTTCTGCCTTTTTTGGGGGAATAGTGATTTACAGGCTGCCTTTTATGAGCTCTGCCATAGAAATACTACAGAAACACAATTTCTGTAAACCTTAGCATGAAACCACTCATACTAATCTGCTGTTGCTCTAGCAGAGAGAAGTAATCTAACATCAGAATTATGTATAAACATGAGTTTTGTGACAAAGTGATATCATTTATATTTGAAGGGGCAAACTATATCAGCTTTTACAAGAAAAGAAGAGTTCAAGTTTTCAGGGTATGAGTGTCAACCCTCTTTCTGGAAACATGTATGTAATTTTTTAGGAGACAGTGACTATGGAGGATGTAACTGTGAACTTCTCTAAGGAGGAGTGGACTCTGCTGAATCCATCCCAAAAGAAGCTCTACAGAGATGTGATGTGGGAAACATTTATGAATATAAATGCTATAGGTAAGGAAGACATCTCTTTCTCATGTATACAGTAAGAGCATTTGTTCTTGCTGATTGGTATGGATTCATTAAATATATGAAAACATTTTGAATGTCTGTCTTGTTAAAATTATACCATCAGTTTAACTGTAAACTTCTAATTTTTGTGTAATCATATGATGACTTTTTCTATTTCTATGGCTTAAATTCAGGAAAGACTTGTGACAGTCAGCAAATGGAAGAATACAAAAATTGCTCAAGAAATCTAAGGTAATTTGCATTCATAAGGAAAAGCAGTACTTGTCAAGAATCAGTGTCTGAGCAGAAATATTACAAGGAAAACCTAAAAATCAGGCTGTGTGCAAATTTACTTATTCTCACAGAAATTTTCCATACAGGTTGATGTTGTATAATTTGGAAACTGAATACTGAAATATTCCAATATAGCCAACTAAATTATTTGTGACAGTTTGGAAGAAGAGTCACTGTCTCATATATTGGTATAAAAAATTCCTTCGTGATCAACATCATTAAAGTGTATGAAGTTGAATTTAGGTATTTTTTGTAGGCATATATGAAAAGAATAAATTGCAAACTTTGGCAGGAACTCATCTTCAAGTTACCTGTTTATGTATATGTGAATATGTGATATACATTGTCTAAACCATTGTAAACCTGGAAGCAACTTTCAAAATGCACATGAATGCTAGTGTTAATAGTTGATTAAAAACATCCTCCAGATAATTGTGTGCATTCATATTGTAAAATTCTAAGAATTCAGTGTCATACATTATTGGTAGAATATAAAACAACTATTTTTATATTTAGTATAGAGATATCTCAAAAAAATAAGTTTGCGTTTAATCCTTGCAAAACTCCCTATGTATATTCTTTTTGTTGTTGTTGAAGATCGAACTCACGACCTTGCGTTTGCCAAGCAAGCACTTATGCCACTAAGCTAAACCCCCGGCCCCTCCTACGTATATTCTGAAAAGATTTAAAATGTCTTACTGAGACATATGTACTTACACTCATAGCAGAGCATACAAAGGTGGAAATAATTCACGATACTTAAGCTCTGTAAGAGCCTAGATGACAATCATTGTCTGACTGGCAAAAGAGAATGTGAGATAATTTCTACATGGTTATACCTTCTTATCCTGGTAAACAGAGCTACCAGGATGACACCATGAAATTCACTGTGACTAAATGAATGATCAATGAGAATCTTTCAAAAAAAAAAAAAAAACCTAGAAATATATTTTATTGCTCAGGGCCTTTTTTATTGCTAAGCACTGAAAAAAAAAAAAAAAAGTGCTACATGTATTCAGCCCCAAAAGAATAATAATAATATCTTTTGGTTAAAAAAAAATAGGACTTCACCTCATAACATAAAATGAAATGTCGAACACAGAAAGTGAATTGTCAATTTGTGTCTCTTTATATGAGATACTTAAATGTAAATTAGGGTGTAAAATTAAAATAAGAGAATGGTAAGGAAAGATGTGAAAATTGATCGATATATTATACACATGTGTTACTAACTTAAATAAGACCTATTCTTATGTATTGCAAACATATACCATATACATACTATCCTTTGTAAAATGGAATTTTTGTAAGCATCCTCAAAAGGCATTTAGCCTATTCTTTCTGTAAATTTCATAGCACATGTGTAGCGAAAACTCATTCCTGGAAAATTACTGATATGGCAACATTTTTATTTTGATTGATATTTTATTTCTTTGCAGAAATCATGAAGCAAAATACTACCAATATAAAACATGCAATCAACATGAAAACATATTCCTTCAGATTTCAGATGGCAATTTGGACATGCAAAAAGTTGCTTTAATTACGGGTGGAAGTCTTGCTTGCAGTGAGTTCCTGATTGGGAATTTATCTTTAAATGTGCCCATTTTACAACATACTGGAGAGAAGCCAGATGAATATTTGGGATTTGATGACAAGCTGACTAAATGTAATGAACATGGACAAACCTGCAGTGATTTTCAGCCCTTTCAGAAGCATGGAAGGACAAAGACTGCAACGAAGTCTTATCAATATGACCAAAATGAGAATTCCTACTTAGACGTAAATGAAAGAACTCACCCTGGAGAGAAAACAATTGTTGGAATGAAAAATGCAAAAGATTCCAGCACCCCCAGTAGTTTTGAAATTGATAGAAGAATTCACACTAGGAAGAAACCATATATGTGTGAGCAATATAGAAAAAAGTTCAATACTCGAAGTTGTAAGATTCATGATAGGATTTATGTGGAGGAAACCCCATGTGGAGATAAGCAGTGTGGAAAAGCATTTTATTCACATGGTTGCTGCCAAAGACATAAAAGAATTCACATTCGTATGAGTTCATTTACATCTAAGCAATGTCAGAAATCATTCAGCAGAAGCACTCCATGTCAAAGCCATGAAACTACCAATGCTAGAGAGAAACCTTATGTATATAAACATTGTGGGGAAGCTATCACCAGACACAACTATGATCAAATGCATGAAAGATATCACACTGAGGAGAAACGATATATGTGTAAACAATGTGGAAAAACATTCACTAGAAAGAGTTATTCTCACATACATGAAAAAACTCATACTGGCGAGAAACCTTATGTGTGCAAGCAATGTGGGAAGGCATTCACTACACACCAATATTGTCAAAGACATGAAAGAACACACACTGGGGAAAAACCATATGTATGCAAGCAGTGTGGGAAGGCATTTACTACACGCCAGTCTTGTCAACTACATGAAAGAACACACACTGGGGAGAAACCTTATGTGTGCAAGCAATGTGGGAAAGCATTCACTAGAAAGCTTCATTATAAAATACATGAAAGAGCACACACTGGAGAAAAACCTTATGTGTGCAAGCAATGTGGGAAGGCATTTACTTCACACCAGTATTGTCAAAAACATGAAAGGAGACACACTGGGGAGAAACCTTATGTGTGCAAGCAATGTGGAAAAGCATTCACTTCACACCAGTATTGTCAAGTACATGAAAGAACTCACACTGGAGAGAAACCTTATGTGTGCAAGCAGTGTGGAAAAGCATTCTCTAGAAAACTTCATTATAAAGTACATGAAAGAACACACACTGGAGAAAAGCCTTATGTGTGCAAGCAATGTGGGAGGGCATTCACTGCCAAAAATTCTTACAACATACATGAAAGAACTCATACAGGGGAAAAACCTTATGATTGCAAGCAGTGTGGCAAGGCATTCCCAACAAAGAATTCTTGTAAGTTACATGAAAGAATTCACACTGGGGAGAAACCTTATGTGTGCAAACAGTGTGGGAAGGGGTATATTACAAATCAAAATTGTCAAATACATGAAAGAACTCACTGGGGAGAAACATATGACCAAGCAATGTGGGAAGACATTGACTACGCAACCATCTTATCAAAGACATGAGACAATTCACACTGAAAAATCTTACATGTGAAAGCAATGTGAGAAGGCATTTGTTATGCACTTGTCAATGAAATGAAGTCACATGGGAGGGACATGCAAACTGTGGGAAACATTACCTACAAAACTAGTGAAAAACATGAAGCAAGTCACAGAAAGTATGTCTACATGCAATCTGGGAAGATACTACAAAGTGTACAAAAATATTTTAGAATTTGATATATATGCTAATGAATGGATCTTTAAAGACATGAACATGTATGTATGTTTTTAAAAGTTTTTTTACACAACTTGTACAAGTGTTTTTTATGCCCTAACTAGATATCTGCACAGATCCCAACATAATCATATAAAGAACATGATTTCACCTGATTTTGCTTTCATGTTGAAGTCATTACTATGATTTACATACAGTTTTCTTAACATAAACATTTTACTTTTCATGCTTACTTTACTGCTTTCAATTTGGTCGTAGTTTTATCACAATTTATACCCCTCCCCCAAAAAAACCCCTCATACTCCTTGGAGTTTCTGTCTGTGACAAATGAGATGGACTATGCCTTGTCTTATAAAGACTATCATGAACTGTAATATTGTGAGAGTCAGTGCTTACTAGAGAAACTTTTAATGTGAGATATACATAAGCATCTTCCAGCGTGACTTACAATATGTGTGCACATAGATTTGAAAGTGCAAAAGTCTCAGTACACTGGATATTCAAAAACATCCTGTTCAAGGCTTGGAGCCCACTTTTGTGTCATGTGCAAGTCTGTATCATCCCAAAGTATCTGTTCTAGAAGATTGAATGATCTGAGTTGGAGGCTGAAGAGTCTGAGATGGAGCCAGGAGATGGCTTCCAATGTAACAGTGAACAGTAGAGCTCCTCCACAGAAACAGATTTAAACCTTTTGTCTTTCTTTTATAACACTGGCTACTATCCTTTTTAGGGTTAGTCTTCCACATCCCTAATTTGTTGGGCATGCAGTACTCAGCTTGACACAATCAGTTTACTGCCACTATCCACACATTAGCTTCATAGCTGCAAACATTTTTTAAACCATGGTCAAACTTAATAAAACTTTCAACCATCAATTCAGGAAGTAAACTACAAAAAAGGAAAACGGGAAGACATGGACCAACATACAGCCTCAGACTTCCAGTTCACCCAAGAACAATCCAAGGAGCAATGAGGTGGAATAATTTAAAAGTCACACACCTGGACTCTGAAATGGTAACAACTAAAATAACAAAATGAATGAGTCTCAATAAAAAACTCAAATCAGAAATAATTCTCAAAATAAATTCAGAGATGATGACCATAGTAAAGGGTATGATTAGTGAATTTAGGAAAGATACAGATTTGAAAAAAAATCAAGGCTTCAGTAAATGAAAGATATCATGAATGCCCTACACAGGAAAAGAATGAAATCAATGCTAGATTCAAATAGGTATCCAGGAGATTAAAAATTCTATTGACTTCATGTGAACTTGCCATGCTGTTCTTAATACTATCATATTGCTAACTGTATTACCTAAGCATGATACCATACCTTTCTGAAGCAGTTCTTCTCCCTTGAATGACAGCACTGTGACTGTTTAGGATCATAACCATTACCACATTTCTGTACCAAAGGACTGGATGCTGCATCAAATAGAAAATTCTGAATGCTGAGAAGGTCGGTTCTTGTGATGGACACAAAAACTAAGAATCACCTACATCTACAAGGCGTCCCTAGGGGTGACAGTTGTAGGAATAATGCTTTCTACCATAAGAGTTACACTACATCTGAAAATTTACAGCCCCAGAACCATAGAAACAAATTGCATACAGTTAAAAAAAAAAAAAGATATCACAGAAAATTCATAGAATCTGCACAGCACAATGTGAAGGCAAAATTCAAATTCATCATCAGTCCTGGGTTGCAAATACAATTTCTTTACCCTCTTACCAATTCGTTTCCAAAATTGGACATGGGTCCATCTAAATAACCAAATCCTCATACATTACTTCTGAGATATGACATTAATTTTACTTTCTTGAAGTAATATATTTTGTCCATAACTATCTCCTCTTTAGCTAGCATTTCACTCTTTAATGTAAATCTGTCCTCATTTATCTCCTCTTTTGTCAAAAATCATGGTTCATGTGACTGGTACCACTTTTGTGGGCTTTCTACAGATTCATAGCCTCGTTTCAAATGTGTGTACTGAGGGCTATGATATGTTCAGAACTGATTCTGACATACAGAACATTACTTGCACATTACATTCTTGAATCATTATACACATCTGTGGATGTGCAATCTGATTTCTCCTAGTTTTCCTGATGAAGATCGGAAGCTGAGAAATTTAATTATGTCCTAATTCACAGAACAAAGTATAGCCTGAAGTGTATGTGTGTCTCCGAATAGGTTTTTTTGTCTCTGCAGTGTATGTCTATCCCACATGGGTGATTTAACTCTACTATATTATCCTTCCCTGCAATAATTTTGTTAACTCTATCTCAATCTCCTGTCATGTTACTGATCCCAAAACAATAAGTTTCTCAGGTAACTTGAGGATAAATATTTTCTTATTGCAATCAAGAATAGGAATATTGCCAGATGGTGGTGCGTGCCTGTAATCCCAACACTTGAGACTGAGGCGGGAGGATCATTTATGAGTATGAGACCTGCCTGAGCTACAAAGTGACCTCAAAGCCAGCCTGAACTGCATAGTGAGATCTGACTCAAAAAGAAAAATGAAAGAGAGAAAGAAAGAATAGGAGTATTATAATAGATAATTTCTGGGTCAGGATGTCACTTGTGGGGTTATTGACGAAGAACAGAAATATACTCTTACAATATCAAAGAATAAGAGTATGGCACAGAAATCAAGTGAAACAATTTTTCCTCATGATACATGGTTGAATGCCAAATAACCGTATATGTGCAGATAGCACTAATGAATACTGTTTAATAAGATGCCCACATACTCCAGTCTTATGTCCTTCACTGTCAGATTAATACTTACGGGCCCATCACCTATTAGAGGTATCCAGTCTCTGCACTGTATCTTTAGATGTTTTGTTTCCAAAATGCAACAGAGGGCCTTTTGAATCTCCCTTTGGGTTACTGGACTGGTGTTTTAAGTATAAGTATTCCTAAAGAATTGTTTCCTGGCTTATATTAGATATTTCATATCAGTAATGCAATGTGAGATTGAATCTCCCTGTTCTTGTATATCCAGACACAAAATATCACTTTAGTCAGGATCCACTTAGGGTTTAATTGTTGGTGAACTAATTAGGATCCAACTTTCCTATGCATAACTTTTACTTACCTAAGATAATTGTTTCTCGCTGCATTACACACACTTAATGAAAACATTCAGAAAAGTAATAAACTTTCAAAACCCAAAGTTGTGCTGGGAATCAGTGTTTCATTAATTATCTTATAGTCTTCTGGTAAATGATTCTGAAGATTTTTTAAATACTATGAAGCACCCTTGCACAGTTGGTGAATAGAATACCTTGTTTATTGTGGTGTCTTTTTTAAGATTTCTGTATAGACATTTTTTTTTTATCAGTACCCGGGATTGAGCTCACAACCGCACGCTTGCAATGCAGGTGCTGCTTATGCCACTGAGCTAAATCCCCAGCCCCTGTGTATAGACATTTTGTAAAAGAATATTTAGGAAGTATATTATCATATTGAGCATACATGAAGAGATAACTGGTGTCTTTTCTGTGATTCTTACTATGTAAGTACTGTTTACTGAATCATTTATCTAAAATTCTACTATCTCTTGCTGCTGTTTTTTCTGCTTCAGTGTTTGTCTCGTGATTCTTAATCTCTCTTCTGTGATCGCCTTTTTCTCTGTATATTTCCCATAGGAAAGCATTTACCATATGGTATTTTCTTGCCCATAATCTACTCAGATTTTATTTTGATTTCTATTATGAGGTGCCTTGGTCTATGTCCATCTACCTTTGGATTAAAATATTAAAATATAAGGAAAGGATCTGTCTCATCTCTATAACTCTTGGAAACAGTTTATGATAATAGTACCGTGACTATTGTAGGAAAAATGGCTGAATACCATATCAAATACGATAGGAGTGGAACAATACAGGGAAATATTTTTCTTAGAGCAAACACATGCTACTTGATATGATGTTTTCATATCCCGCATAGTTTACAATAGGAAAACTCAGACCAGGAAATTCATTATCTAAATGCACAAATCATGCTGAAGCCCACAATTAAATTTAAGACTGTGGCACATATATCAGAAAAAGTCCACACATCAGATATGCTGACAAAGCAGAGGTGATTTCAAATGAGAGACAAGTATTGTTCTTTTCAATGAAAGCCCATATATCGATTATTTCTTCCTAGTTCAGCACTTTTTCTTTGGTTTGCTCAATTGAGTTTGACCAAATGTCTGCTCTGCGATATGAGATGATATTAGATCATTTTTGAGATTTAAAATGTGCAAGTAATCAAAATCCTAAATTGATTGGAAAAAATAGCATTCATCTTCATTAAGATACTGTTTTAGATTTTTTTATTATTGCCAGAAAACTACCACAATTTAAAGGTAGAAAGGTTTGACAACCACAATTTAAAGGTAGAAAGTTTTGCTTTGGATCACAATTTCTAAGAATTTCATTCTGTAGCTCCAAGACAGAATGATGTAGCACATTTTCAACACATAATGCAAAGATCCCATAAAACAGAATAACAGCACTGGGCGTGGTGGCTCATGTCTATAATCCCAGCACTCAGGAGGCTGAGGCAGGAGGATTGTTGTGAATTCGAGACTGGCCTGGGCTACAAAGAGAGCTCAAGGTCAGCCTGAACTGAATAGTGAGACTCTGTCTCAAAAAAAAAAAAAAATGACAAAAAACATAGAATAACAGGCAGGCAAGTGGATTGAGGAAGTACTAGTTACACTTGGCCTCATGTACAAATAACTAGTTATTTAGGTAACCTTAAGTTACAATTCAAATGCCCACTGAATTTTTGGTTGTAAAGAAAGATTCTCAATGCCAGAAAAGCATATGCAAGGATATGAGAATCAGTTTGAGCCCAGATGCACATGTCAGTGGACTTGATTTTGGTCAGTGTTTTATATAATTATTATTATTACTTTATTAAAATGTCCCCTAAAAGCTAGAAAAATAACTAAGGAAGGAAGGGAAGGTTAAGAAAAGTATTCACAATTTTTAAAATGAAGGAAGAGTTGGACATATAGGATGGTGACATGTCAACTGTCTCACTAGTATGCACAGTATATCAAAATCCACCAACTTGAAAATCTTACAGAGAAAACATTTCTATAAAGGGCATAGTGTTTCCAAAGGTGTTTCCAAAATTAATATGTAATGACTGACAATTTTGTATAATGTAGAAAAAATATTAATAGGGTGGACAAATGCAAAGCAGAAGGCAATTTATAACCTGAGTCTAGTTTGTCAAAAAGCTAGGGCTATAAATGCAGATCCCATAGAGGATAATTCATTGATGAGTGATACCAGTGAAACATATCATGGAATTAACAGTTACTTTTAAGAATTTTAAAAGTAAGAACTGGTTCATAGCACAACCAGGCATAATGAAGCAGCCACTACTGATAAAAGGGCTGCTAAAAATCACATATACCACCTTGAAATGAAGACAGAGAAATGATTTTTACTCTCATAAGATCTTCAGTTGTGATGAAACTGGACTTGGCTGAAAGAAAATGCCTAAGAGAACAGACGTTACCCAGGAAAAGAATAAAATGCCAGGCCAAAAGCCTGTGAAGGATAGGCTGATCTTATTTCTGTAAGATTCTTATTTCTAGGGGCTGGGGATTTAGCTCAGCGGCATAAGTGACTGCCTTGCAAGCAGACAGTCGTGAGTTCGATCCCTGGTACCGATAAAAAGCCAAAAAAAACCCACAAATTCTTATTTCTATGCCATGTGAGTGATGAACTAAAAGAAAAGACTCTCATGGTTTATCTGAAATCCCAAGAGTGTTCAGCAAACAAAGGCTTGAGGAATAGAGTAGGGGTCACATGGAGATCTAGTGCAAAAGCCTGGGTAATACAGTAATTTTTTTGAGTGGATAAGGGAAACTTTTTTTCCTATTGTTAAGAGACATCTAAAGGACAAAGGTTTACGACTCAAGGCTCTCCTCATCATGGACAATGCTCCTGTTCACCCATGAAATTTGGAAGAATTGGCTGAAGAATTCCTAAGGCTGTCAATTGAGATCTTCCCACCTAATCCAATTCCTTTACTGTGACCTATGTATCGGCAGGGTATAGGTAACTTTAAGAAACTATACTTAAAATGCTTCCAGATGATCTCAAATATACATGTAACCCTCAAAGAGTTGAAAAAGGAATAGTATAACATCCTTTCCTTTGTGCGGGTAATTAAGAAAACCCGTGTCAATGTCCCCAAAAGGACTCTGAGATCACCCTGAAATTAAAATTATACACGAGAGAGATTTTAAAGGCTTTGTAGGCTTTGTAGAGGAGCCTGCACCTTCATTGGCCCTTGTGAGTGATGACATTTTCACTATAGCAGAGTCCAGGTAGACAATGGTGATGTTGAGGAACAGTTGGGGAAACAGAGGAATTGTCTACAGATGAACTTTTGGCTGAGCCACAGAGAATGACAGCTGAGGAGATTTCTGAAGAGGAAATAGACTATCTATTCCACTTTGTCCTTGGTTCCCTAGATTCATATGTTTTCTGCCCTCAAGGGATTGAGTCTTCCATAGAGCGATGATCCTGGAACCTTCTGAGCAAATTTCTGACCTACTTGCAGAAAGAGTCCACTGAATATGTCAGAAAACAATAGAAGTTTTTAAAAGCCTGGATTAATGTCTGTAAATGAAAGCATTCTTCACGCGAGGTGAGATAGTCACTGTGGGAGTCAGACTGGACCAGGATTTCCTGGGTTAGAATTTATCATTTGGGGAGCTGGGGATTTAGCTCAGAAAAAGACAGGAAAAAAAAAAAAAAAAAGAATTTATCATTTGAACTCTCGGAAAGCTGAAAGTAGTTCGAGTCTCCGGTCATGCTTAGTAAGCCGTCCCACAATGAAGCAGTAGCCAATCAGCGATGAAAGCGGGCTGTCTGAATTAACCAATCAGGTGCGGTAAGATGGAGGGCACTTCCTGTGTCATGGCGCCGAGCCCTACAGCAAGGACTCATTGTCGAGAGCTCCCACCTGACTAGACCACTCTTTCCTGTGACTTCTGCCAGCTGCAGTCTGCATTGGGAGGATTCTGAGAGGCTCTCAGGCACACAATGGTGACGTTGTGGGATGGGTGCAGGGATGGGGTGGAATCGGGGACTCTGCAGAAGGAGGGGGCCAGAATGAGCTGTGACAAAAAATAGTCTCTGCTTCGCTCCAGAATCCGAGGTCTTCCGAAGCTTTGATTTTGTGTCATCATCCGTCCCTTTTCCGCTTTGCTGAAGCACAGGCAATTCTGGGTCCCTAGTATGCTTTCTCCATGTAAAACTTCCTGCCCAAAGTGCCTTTCTTGGCTGTCCTAGGCACGGGTCTGTCTCCACCTGTCTGACCAGTGCAGGGATTTTGGAGAAACCCTGGTTTCCACACTTAGAAATGAATAACACGTATCATTTTAATTATTTGTGTGAGACCTCTTCTCACAGTATTGTTACTGCATGAACAGTCCTTGTGCTCTCTCTCACAACATCGAGAACTGAGGTGAGCCAAATTATTGGAAATAATAATCAGAGCTCTCAGGTTTTCAAGAAGCATCCCTGGCGCGCTTGAGGTTAGCCCGAACTGCATAGCAAGACTCTTGTCTCAAAAAACAAAACAAAACAAAGACAAAGACAAAACGTGCGTGCTGAGGAAACTGGTGAGAGATCCTGAGTTCTCAGTAGTTGTTTTAAATCCAGAGACATCATGATAGGTGGTGAGGAAGCAACTGAGCAGGTGTTATGCTGTGCTTACATAAGATTAGCGGCTGTTCACTCAGTCCCGAGCTAATTGTACGTAAGCAGGAGGATCCATGTGAGTTTGTGGACAGCCTGTGCTTCCTTGTGAATTTAAGCCCAGCCTGAACTACATAGTGAGATTGGGTCAAAAAAACAAATACACAGCAAAACAAGTTTTGAAGTAATGAAATTTCCATAGAAAGCATATTAATGAATAGAATAAAAATGGTTTTTGAATACTCAAGAGGAAAAAGGAGTAAAAAGGAAATGGGACAGCAGGCCACTGTGGAGAGGGTCATAAGTCAGTATCTACAGCAATAAACTCCTCCTGACTTCAAATTTTTCATAGTGTTAAAAAAATTGAATTATCTGCTGGGTTGGTCTGAGATTGGATCATAAATCATAGGCTCAAAAAATGTTGAGGAATTTAGGAATGGATGAACATTTCTTCACTGACTACTTACAGCTCATCTAATGATTTTTGTGACAAAATTGAGAATTAGGAAACTGATAGATTCAAAAGTAGTATAGGCATTGTCTTTGCAGTAGAATGGAAAGGGACTTCTGATGGATACAAAAATTCTAAGATGCTTTTTTGTGTTTGCTACTGTTCAGGCATTCAACTCAGGAAACTTGCCCTAAGATACAGCCAGTCAAAAAAGTTTTAGTTAATTTTTGAACCCAAGTCTTCCTAATTTCCCAGGCCGTGGAAAACTTTTGATGCTTTTTCCACCTCTTTGCTTATTGGAATGAGAGACCTGTGCCACTTTGCCAGTTTATAGTTAGAATTATTAAATCACCAGGAATTAGCAAGATTTCAGTGCTTTGAGGAAAATAAATATCACTGGCTTTTTCTGGTGCACACCTAATGACATCCACCGAAGGGACAAGACAGGAGGATTATATCACCAAACACAGCCTGGATAACTGAGCAAGACCCTGTCTCAATATTAAATAAATATTTTGGGCGAACTTCCCCTTTAAACTAACCTGAGTAATGTTCATGAGACCCTGTATTAAGTTTAAAACAGTGAAAAGAAAAAGAAGTTATTTAGTGCAAATCTTAATTTTGAATTGTAGTCATTTTTCACACGAGGGGTACGTGCCACAATAGTTCTTATGATTGGGGATAGCAGTAATGAGTCACTACTCAGTCAGAATTAGGACACCACAGATGGACAACTAGTGATTGTAAAATACGTTATATTCAATCAAGTACAAGAGATATTTAGCATTTTATTATGAATTTGGCTTTTCATTACATAAATATCCACCATTGCAGGTCAAGTGGAGGTTATTGAATATTTTGTTCCAGTTACAGGAAAGTAGCTAAGGCATCTAATAATGCTAAATTTTTTAAAAGGTGAAATATGTGGTCTCAAACACAATTTGTATTGTCTGCTCTGTGCTTTGTTGTCATGATGGTTAATTTCCAAAATTGCTTACTACTTCCTCATACTCTAAAGGTCCTCAAAGGTGTTTACAAATCACATAAAAATTGCAAAATACTGTTTAATATTGCCTGTAATGTAAATTATTATTGGTCTCTTTGCCAACCACTTTAAAACTCCTTTCTTATGTCTGGAGTAGTGCAGTAAATGGATACACTAACAAGTAAATAAGCTCTTACAGTATGTAATAGCAAAACTTAGATGATAGATTTAAATAAGGGAAGATGAAAGCAATGCTGTAAAGGATAATTTTCACGAGAGACTGCTTTTTAAACCTATTTTTTCAAACCCCTTAAAAGAGAATACTGCAATCTACATATAATTCATGTTTTAGTGTAGAGAAGAAAGTACCACTGCTTACTTAATTACTATAGTTTACTGATAGTTTGTAAACAGTTTTCCAAAAAAATGGCATGCTGAATGAGTTGTAGGGACTTTGATTAAAAACATAATTGCATCAGGAGCAGAGTACCAGCTGCAGGTGTGCCTGTATATAAATGGAAGTTATCGGGTCCTGACCTAGATCTCCCAAACAAGTGAATGATCTCCCAAACGAGTATACGGTGGAGGTTAAATAAAAACAGACAAATTGTATGAATATAGGGCTCGAAGAGGGTCAAAACCCTTTAAGCTCTCGACTGGAAGGGCTAAGACAAAAGCTTCTCTGGACTGCCCACTTTATTTATGAAGTCCAACAACAAGAGGTGGGGAAACTGAGGAAAGCACAGGCAATGAGCAGGGGAGTCACTTCAAGGACATCTCCAAGTAATGAATCAAGTCAATTCAGTTGCACTGTCTTATCATGAAGGGAAGAAGTGAGACTGAAGGTATAATTTCTGCAGCTGCAGTCTCTGTTTTGTTAATTGGGGTTGGAGCCAAGTGTCCACAGGTATCTCTGGCCTCATAGGCCAGGACCAGTGAGTCATAGAGGTTCACTTACTATGAATCAACTCCCGTCGACAGCCAAGAGGCCTAGGCCTAGGACAGACTAACAGATAAACATAGAAAGCTAATTAGTAAAATTTAAATCCTGCTTGGAGCCGCTTCATAGTGATCTCCAAAAGGAAGGCACAAACATGTTTTCTGTGTTGGAAGGAACAAGGCATACATACAGTGTGGGGGGAAAGGGGTGAAGGAAGATAGAAAAATCAACATCTAAACCAGGGTTTTTCCCTGAGCATGTTTTACTGGAGATTGAACCCAGGCCTTTCTTTCACTCTGAGTGACATCCAGCCTTTTATATGTTTCTTTTTTTTTATTTTGAATTTGCACTTTGGGTCTTGCTGTAGAGCTCAGGCTGAGCTTGATACTATTTTCCTCTGGTCTCAGCCTCCCAGAGTGGCATGATCACAGATGTAGATCACTAAGCACAAATATAAAGTATGATCACAGTGCTTGATTATATTAAATATCATCAATTATTCATTTTAATGTCAAGGTTAAAAATGTTTTTCATTGACAGTGTGTGGAGGTCATTCTGAAAGACTTCTTTGGAAACTTGATTCCGTATCACAAGTAGCTATGAATTTGAAATATGTTCTGTGTGTAGTATAATTTTGTAAGTGAAACTTTCCCTGGATTCTAGAGGAGAAAATTTATGACTACCATAATTTTCTGCAACATATGAATGCCCTTCTCTTTTTGTCTTAAGTCATTTTGAAGCAGTATATTCATTTCTGTTCATGAAGTAACTCTGTGCCAAGTATTCAGAACTTCAGAATAATGACTTGTAATGAAAACATCACATGCCTTGGACAGCAGTGTTCATTTGAAGTGATGTACTAGGACTGTGCTCCCAAACTGCTAACATTTTGGGTGGTACATTGATTTTGGGTACACTGTATTTTTTGTAGAATTGGTTAATGCTCAGCAAACAATACACACTTGAGTGAAAAAGAAAATTTGGGAAAAGTCAAAGTTCAACCTAGAATTGATTGTCTGTGTTCAGTACTGGGATCTTGAGAAGAGAGGAGTTGTATACTGTGAAGATGGCTGATTGTGATGTAAAGAAGCCCAGACCTAAATTTCCTGACTTTTCTGTTTCCCGTGGTCACTGTCTTGATTGAGCTACCCTGGACTGTAGAGGCCCTGAGATCTTTGTGTCACCTTGGAAATATGTTTAACCTTCTGAGTGTGGGTTCCCTTACGAATGGCAGTGAAGAAGGGGTCTTCCCTAAATAGCTTCCCTTTTGCTTTTTATTTGCAGCAAGTTTCTTGTTTAAAATAGAAGTTTCTTCAAAGACTTAAAAATTGCTCTTTAGATTTCACCATAAGATTTTTATTTTCTTCATTTAAAAATGAGTATGGGGGCTGGGGATTTAGCTCAGCGGCATAAGCACCTGCCTTGCAAGCAGGCGGTCATGAGTTCGATCCCCGCTACCGATAAAAAAAAAAAAAGTAAAAAAATAAATAAAAGTGAGTATAATATTGATTGCTTGTGAAGAAACAAAGCAGCAATTATTTGCTCAGTATTTGTCCTAAATATTTGTAAAGATCCATGAATCATTAAGAAGGTGAGAAAATCAGTGTTTACCTCCATTGTGTTTCCCTTATTTCATATAACTACTTACCTGGCCATAGAGTTTTGTTTTGCAATCTGTTTGGCCCTTAAAAAATGTCATGGAACAAAATCTTATTTGGTTTAACATTTGGAATTGGAATGAACTAACAAGATTAATGTATCAGTACAATTTTCATTAAAAGATTACTTGAGTATTGTGTCAGAGAGCCTAATGGATATAGCATTGTTGGGAAGTTCATATTTAGGCATTTCACTCTCACCTACTCCACTTCATCTGGGGTTGTGTTATTTAAATTTGATTTCTTTTATTTATTATCTACCATATATTTAAAAATACTGTTTAATTTTCCTGAAAGTGATAAGAAACTGGTATTTTGCTGGAATAAGAAAAAACACTAGTGTGTAGATCATAAAAAATTCAAATTTGTACACTTCATAAATAACGGAAATAAACAAATTAATGTGAATATTGTTATTGGTAATTTCCTATGTAAATATTTTATATCAAATTTACTTTCATACATTTTGGTGAGATTTAATGATGGTAACAATATAAGAATCTTTGGTGTATTCAAAACATTTCATCATTGGGCACTTGTAGTGGACAAAAATACACATATGATAAACTCCCTACCTGACTCAATTTTTTCTTGCCTTATTTTTGATCACTTTCATTCTTTGGCAACTTTTCCTCAGTTTACCATATGTGATTCTCCATGAATAGTGTTGTTTTAGTTTCTTTTCTGTAACTTCCAGTAATTATTATAGAAGTTACACAGGGAAATATTTGGGAATTTTTTTTCTCACTATTAACAAATGCTGATGTCTGAATCAAGGAAAAATTACTTCCTTATCAATTCCATTGGTCTTGATGTTTAAGATTTTTCAAATTTACAATAATCACATCTATCTACAAGAATAGAAGCACAATGCATTCTCCTTCCTTGCATGAGACTGTTTTCTCGCACACCTCAGTTTTCTTAGTTTTCTCAAGACTTGGTTTTTTTTTATTTTCAGTGTTTCTCGAGTCAGATGTGTTTTATATTTTTGAAAGATTTGTGTTCATTGATCTTCATTCTCTATATAGAATAATTATATTGTGTGTACAGTAAATATTTTAGTTTGGTTTAATTTATTTTATATGGTTTTCATAGACTTTAATTTCTCCTTCTAATTCTCATGGCTACTTGTTTCCTCTGAGGAAACTCTTTGTTTTTCTAAAAGTTATTTCTCTATGAAATCCGAAGGCATCTAAGTTTATCTTTCCCATTTCAATATGTAATTTATTTACATAAAATAGAAAAGTTACAATCTAGATTTCCAAATGCATAGTTGTTTTTCCTTGACATAAATAAAACACACTGTGAATACTGTCTTTTTATTTTATTTTATTTTAAAGAGAGGAAAAAAAACAAATAATACAAATTTTCAAAACAAGATACTAGGAAATTAACAACAGTTAATATATTGCATATTGATATATTCAGAGTAGTTGCTCAGATTCCAAGATGTAGGCATATAAAATTGATCAAACAATATAAGCACAAACTGTTCCTTTCAGTGTCTCATTTTCTTAAGAGTAAAAAGTTCTCAAGTGCAAAAATAACACAAGAGCCAGGGCATAAGTGCCTGCCTGGCAAGAACAAGGGTTTGAGTTCGATCTTGTACCATGAATCACTATTCTGTTTATATGTGGAATCTTAGAAGTTTGCCTTACTTTCCTAAGATTCGTTTGTCATTCTCTACTAAATGCAGATTGTAACAAGTGTAACATGAATGTGTTTTATGTAAAGTGTGAACTGTCACCTTGCTCATGAGATGTTGAATTTTGTCAGTCTGCTATTATTCTGCACAGTTCTAATTTTTGAAAACTGCAAAGAAGTAACTTATAAGTGACACAGTCTTTTCTTTTAGTTTTGTTTTGTGAGTGTAGTCTGACATAATGTCTCAACTTGAAATCTTGACTGACCTTGAAGTTACCTCATAGCTGGGGCAGGACTTTCAATTCCTGGCAATCATCAGACTCATGGAAATCTTCCTTCATCACTCTCCCCAATGCTGAGATTATAGGCAGTTACCATCACATCTGATTAAAGTTTTCCTTTTTTAATTAGTGCCTAATTGTAATATCTTCACTTCTAATGGTTTCACTATTTTATACGTACCCTTCCCTTCATTGATCTCAGTCCTAGGAATTTTCATGTGTGAGTGGAAGGTGGTCATTATGTGTCACTAAACTGTAAGATAATACACCAGCTGACCTCTAATTTAATTGTATGTTGACTTGCTTCAAGAATACTGTTTTTTCAATAGCATTTTAATACTCCTCATAAACCTTTATTTTCTTTTTTATTGGTATATTTTATGTATATAGTGATAACATTTATCTTGGAAATTTGCACCTGTACATGGTATATCTTGATTCTTTTTATTCCCCTCTTCTGCCCTTAGTTCAGATCCTCTTCCCCTCTTTATTTGTAAAAAAATTTCCCTATTGTCCTGTTCTTGTTTTCTTGTTCCTTTTTTTCTTCCCCACATCCCTGTATTGTTCCCCTACACATTTAAACATTTTCTTCTCAGATGTCTCAAAAACAAAAAGTAGAGGAGCCATTTTACCCAACTATTCCCTTTTTTGGTCTATTCCCAAAAGAATTAAAAGTGTCTGACCACAGTGAGGTGTACATGCCCATATTTATACTGGCACAGTTTGTAATATGTAAATCTTGGAAACAACCCAATTATTCATTGACTGATGAAAGGATAAGTAAGATGTGGGGTTTTTATACAATGAAATACTATTTGAAATAAGAGAGATAAAAGGGATAGGGATATAGCTCAGTGACACAGCACCTGCCTTGCAAGCCGACAGTCATGATATTGATTCCTAAATACTGGTAGAAAGATTAATTAGATACATTTCTATTAAATGGGCAATCCTAGAGAGCACACTCTCAAGTAAAATAAATTAGACATGTGTAAATATCACATGGTTTCTCTGTTGTGAAAAACCAAGTGTAAATAAGGAACAAAATGCATATACTTTATTTAATGTTCAATAATATTTTTCTGCAAACCAGATCCATATTTCAAAATGCTGCCTATGTACAAAAAAGAATGTCTTAACTATGAATTATCAGATTTCAAGATGTATAATCTGTGGTCCGTCCAAAGCATTTATTGGATACTTTCCTGATTCCGTTTTTGGGGAAATCATGATCTGCAGGCACCTCTATGAGCTTTGCTTTAGAAACAATGCTTAAGTACAATTTCTGTTAACCTACCAGGAAACCTCTGCTACAAATCTGCTGTTACTGTAAAACAGAATAGCAATCTAGCATCAGAATTGCATATGAAACTGCATACACGTGTGTTTGGTGACACAGGCATGGAGTTTATAATTGAAGTGACATCCACAGTTCAACTTTCACAGGAGTTTAAGTTCTCAGGGTATGAGTGTCATCCTTCTTCAGGAAATATATATGTGATTACTTAGGAGGCAGTGACTGTGGAGGATGTAACTGTGAACTTCACCAAGGAGGAATGGGCTCTGCTGAATCCATCCCAAAGGAAGCTCTACAGAGATGTGATGTTGGAAACATTTAGGAATATAAATGCTGTAGGTAAGGAAGACATCATTTTTTCATATATTCTATGAGAGAGCATTGTTTCTTGCTGATAGGTACAGATTCATTAAATAGAGTGTGAAGACATTTTGAGTAGTATCTCAGGTACCGTTTACATTATACTATGACTATAACTTCCAACCACTAAATTTATATAATGATATGGTGACTTTTTGTATTTCTATGGCTACAATTCAGGAAGAACTTTGGACTACCAGCAAAATAAAGAATACAGAAATTGTTCAAGAGATCTAAGGTAATTTACATTAATAAAAGCAGTGCTTCTTAGGAGTTGCCATATGAGCAGAATATTAGAAGGAAACTACAAATCTGGCCATGTACGCATTTATTTAATTTCACAAAATTTTTCCTAATATGTATATAGGTTAATTTTATATAATGTGGAATATTTCTCTATGCAATTATACATATTCCTGAATATTCCAATTCAGGAAATTTAGTAGTAATATTATGCAATGAGAGGTACTAACTCATACATTGGTATAAACATTCCTTCATGATCAGAATCATGAAAATATATGAACCTGCATTTAGGTATTGTGTATACACATATATGAAAAGAATAAATCTTGAACTTTGGCAGGAACTCATCTTTAAGTTTAATTTGAGATATACATTATCTAAAACATTGCTACCCTGGAAGCAACTTTCAAAATGCACATGAATACTTGTGAAATAATTGATGTTTGAAAACATCCTCCAGAGAATTTTGCGCATTCATGTTTTAAAATTCTTAGTGTGCACTGTCATAAGTTATTGTTAGGAATATAAAACAGAACCATTTTTAGATTCAATATACAGATGACTCAAAAAATAAAAATAAAAGTTTGCATTTGGTCCAAGCAAAATTCTCCATATGCATATACTAAAGAGATTTAAAAGTATCATATCTTCATGACATACATGTACTTAACCACAAAGCAGGGTCTGTGTATTCACAACAGCTAAGAACTGGAAACTTCTCAATATCTAAACTCCAGTAACAGCCTAGATGCCCATCATTGTGTTTATGGAAAAGGAGAATATGGCATAGGCTCAACATGGTGCTACTTTCTTACAATCTCAGTAGTTGGTAAGCTGAGCCAGCAGGATGACAACATGAAGTGCATCCTGACCAAATGAATGATTAGTGGGAATCTCTCTAAAAATAAGAAATAGAAAAATTAGAAATTATTTTATTGCTCAGACCCTTGTTTAATTCTCATTACTGAAAAAAAATGCAGTGCAGATATTCAGCTAAGCAAAAGAAGAGACTTGTATCTTCTTGGGGGTGGGGCTCAACTCATAATGTCAGATGAGGAATTCCAATACAGATATTGAATTGTCCAGTGTTTTCTTTTACATGAGATACTAAAATATAAATTAGGATGTAAATTAGGAAGGGAAGAGTATTGGGGGAAAGGTTTACAAAAATGTGATACATGTATGAATCTGACTTAATTTCAAATTGACCATATGCATTGCTAACATTTAACACTTTAAAATTAACAATGAGTATCATCTGTTGGAAATGGGCATTTTGGAGGCATCCTTCAGGGCTTTCAGCCTACTGACTCTGAAAATAGACAGTCAAACCAGAACTTGTCCTCGTAAATTATTGATATGGAGACAATTTATTGTGGTTGATATTTTGTTTCTTTACAGAAATGAAGTAGCAAAATGCTATCCTTATAAAACTTGCAGTCAACATGGAGACATATTCCTTAATACTTCAGATGCTAAGATAGATATGCAACAAACTGCTTTCAAGCCAGCTGGAAGTCTTATTTGTGGAGAGCCCCTGATTGGGCATTCATTAAATGTGTCCATTTTACATAACACTGGAGAGAAGCCAAATGAGTATTTGGGATGCAGTGACAAGCTGAGTAAATGTAATGAACATGAACAAACCTGCAGTGATTTCCACTCCTTTCAGAAGCATGCAATATCAAAGAGTGGAGAGAAGCCCTGTCAAAATGAGCAATATGGAAAATCCTCTCAACTTAATGAAAGAACTCACTTTGGAGAACAGATAATTATGGGTCAGAAAAGTTTGAAAGCGTCTACCACCCCCAATGGTTTTCAAATCCATGAAAGAATTCACACTGGAGAGAAACACTATGAATGTGAACAATATGAGAAATCATTTACCAGATGCACTGATTGTCAAAGCCATGAAAGTACTCAAATAGGGAAGAAACCTTACGTATGTAAACAATGTGGGAAAGCTTTCACCAGACGCTATTATTGTCAAGTACATGAAAGAACTCACACTGTGGACAAAACTTATATATGCAAGTACTGTGGAAAGGCATTCACTATACACCAGTCTTATCAAAGACATGAAAGAACTCACAGGGGGGAGAATCCTTACATGTGCAAGCAATGTGGGAAGACATTCTCTACATATGGAACTTGTGAAATTCATAAAAGAAGCCACACTGGTGAGAAACCTTATTCATGCAAGCACTGTATGAAGGCATTCACTACACGACAATCTTGTAAAATACATGAAAGAATTCACACTGGGGAGAAACCTTATGTGTGCAAGCAATGTGGAAAAGCATTCTCTATATGGGGTAATTATAAAAGACATGAAATTACTCACACTGGGAAGAAACCTTACATGTGCAAGCAATGTGGAAAAACATTCAATTTGAGGAGTAATTACAAGCGACATGAAAGATCTCACAATGGAGAGAGACGTTATGCATGCAAATATTGTGGGAAGGCATTCACTGCACATGAAACTTGTCAAATACATGAAAGAACTCACACTGGGGAGAAACCTTATGTGTGTAAGCAATGTGGGAAGGCATTCACTACAAAAGGTTATCATAAACTACATGAAAACTTTCACACAGGGAAAAAATCTTATGTGTGCAAACAATGTGGGAAGGCATTCACTAAACATCAATCTTGTCAAAGACATGAACTCAGTCACACTGGGGAGAAACCCTATGTGTGCAAGCACTGTGGGAAGGCATTCACTTCCCCCCGGTCTTGTCAAGGACATGAAAGGACACACACTGGGGAAAAACCTTATGTGTGCAAGCACTGTGGAAAAGCATACAGTATAAAGTCTAGTTGGAGAAGTCATGAAAAAACTCACACTGGGAAGAAACATGTGTGCAAGCACTGTGGGAAGGCATTCGCTATACACCAACATTGTCAAATACATGAAAGAACTCACTCAGGGGAGAAACCTTACATGTGCAAACAATGTGGGAAGGCATTCACTACACAACAGTCTTGTCAAAGACATGAAAGAAATCACACAAACAAGAAAATACAGTAATGTGGGCTAATGTGGGAAAAGATTTGCTTGTAAGTCCTTATTCTGTTTTTTGTGTTTGAGACAGGGTCTCGCTATGTAGTTCAGGCTAGCCTTGGGCTCACTTTGTAGCCCAGACTGGTTTTGAACTTTGAATGATGCTCCTACCTCAACCTCCCGAGTGTTGGAATTACAGGGGTGCATAAGTCTTCATTTTATATATAGAGAGCTCTCACTGGGGAGAAACCCTATATATAAACAATGTGAGGCAAATATTTGGTAAACATATTTTTCATCAACTGTATGAAAGAAGTCATACTGGAGAGTGATCTTATATATGTAAGCATATTTCGAAAAACTTATAAAGGGAGTCTTGTACACATGTAAGTGAAAATTTTTATGTCAATATTTCTTTATGATTTTCCAGAAACTATAATCCCAGATGGAGATCTATAATGTATTCTTTCTGTTCTTTCAGTAAATCATCTGAAAAACCTGAATTGAGTATGTATAGTGTTTATTAGAATCAATATTAATATATTTTATGTAAACCATGGTCTTTGAACCTAATATATATTATGTTTTAATACAACATGAGTTGAAATATATTTCTCACTTCCAAGTATGGTTATTATTTTTGTAGTTTTTATTTTTTTTAATAGGCAGGTAAAAAAAATAAATATAATTAGTAGTTTTAAATTGGCATTTCCCACTAGCTTTGATTGAAATTTTCTTGGTGTATACAGCTCTTTTCTGTATACAAATGATAGCAGTGAATTTGATTTATAGTATACATGTGAACATGAATACTTTGAGACATTTAGACATGTAATTTTTATTTATTTTGGTACCAGAGACTGAATACACAACATTGCACTTGCCAGGCAAGTGCTTATGCCACTGAGTTAAATCCCCAGCCCCATGTAATTTTTAAAAGTTCATTTTTTAACATGTAACTTGTTGATTAGTAAATGTTTTGTTTTTCATGTCCTAATTAGATAGCTGCAGGTATCTCACCATAACTGTAAAGCACATAATTTTGCTTTCATGTGAAAGTCAGTATGATTTCCGTAAAACTTTATTTTCTTATCATCATTTTACTTTTCATGCTTACACTGTTATGAATTTTAATTTGGTGCTAATTTTATCACAATTTATACCAAAATTGCGAAGGTTGTGGCACATGAGATGGACTGTGCCTTGTCTTACAGAGGACATCATGAACTGTAGTATTGTAACTATCAGAGCTTACTAAACAGTTTTAGTTTATAAGCATTTATAAGATCAGCTTGCAGTGTCTGCACACACACTCAGATGTGGAAGAGTGCAAAAGTTTTGGCTGTTCACTGGATCTCTGTCTGTGTCATGGAGCCCACTATAATATCCTGTGTGACTCTGTGAGCAGACCAGTGGGTCTGTGCCAGAAGACTGAATGGCCTGCACTGGAGGTTAAAGAGTGTATTGGAAGCAGGAGGTGGCTTCCAAGTGAGTGAACACTAGCACACCTCCACAGAAACACATGTAAGCCTTCCTTTTTTTTTTTTGTTTCTTTTTGTAACCTGGCAAAAATCTTTTCTAGAGCAGGCTTTCCACATCCATAATTAGCTGGGCCAGTTTCATTGGTCATGTAATACTCATTTCCTAGACACAATCAGTTAACTGACACTATCCACCACTGACAACCTCACCACTACACATTTCTTTAAACCATGATCTCCAGGTAAAAGACAAATTAATAAACAGTCTTTTTTTTTTTTTTTTTTTTGTCTTTTTCCTTTTTATCCGTACCGGGAAACGAACTCACGACTGCCTGCTTCCAAGGCAGGCGCTTATGCCGCTTACGCCCCAGCCCCCATAAACAGTCTTAACATGTTACAGCCATCCTACATTCAAATGGAACTGCATTAATTCCCCTGCCCACAATAGTAAGGAAGTTTTCTTTGTGTGATGCTTACTTGTAACATTTTGTAACTGGGACATTATAATAGGTTTTGTAAGACCTAACCAATGTTAAGTCTTATTGGTATATTAAACTGGAAGAACGATACAAAAAAACTTACAGTAGTTTTGCAGCTTATCATGGGGCTATAGCTTGTATTTAGAATTACTCATATGACCCATTCTGTATTCCATGGATTTCAGCAAGCAGTTCAGTGGTTCCTGATCTTTTCCCCATGTGGGACCCTTACTTTCCTTCCTGGAGTTTGTGGACCATTTGACGTTCTACCTGAATTGAATTGTTAGTTTCCCATTGACTTTATTAACAGCATGGTAATACGAAAGTTATTTGACAATTTTGAAGTAACTGCCCAAGAGGACAGACATTACCCAGGAAAATAATAAAATGCCAGACCACAATCCTGTGAAGGATAGGCCATCTACTCTCTTGGTTTATCTCAGATCCCGAGTGTGCAGAAAACAAAGTCATGAGGAATGGGGCAGGAGTGATATAGTGATCTAATGCAAAATCATGTGTAATAAAGTAATTTCTCTTGAGTGGATAAGGGAGACTTTGTTTCCTATTGTTAAGAAACACCTAGAGAGGGCTGGGGATTTAAAACAAAACAACACCTAGAGGACAAAGGTTTAAAACTCAAGGCTCTCCTCATGATGGACATTGCTCCTGCTGAAACATGAAATTTGGAAGAATTGGCTGATGAATTCCCAAGACTCAGTCAAGTTCCTCCCATCAAATTCAAAGGCCAATCATTGCATTCACTTGCTTTATGAACATGCTGTCAAGAAAAGAAAGCACACTAGCGATCCAGATTTCTGATGTTCTTATGGGAGGGGATTCTCCTTCCAGACAATAACCACTTTCTGTTTCATCCTCCCTTCAAAGCAAAGATTCGTGAACTTGAATAGTGAGTAAATATAGTAGTATCGGGTTCTGTCCTAGATACCTGATCTCCCAAACGAGTGTACAGCAGAGGTTAAGAGACAAATTGTATGATTTGTAGGGCTTCAGGAGAGTCAAAACCCTTTAAGCTTGAGGCTTCGAGGGTAAAGACAAAGGATTCTCTGGGTCAGTCCACTTATGCTAGGACCAAGGACAAAAGATGGAGAAACAGGAAAGTGCAGGCAATGAGCAGGACCTTTGGAGTCACTTCAAGGAAGTCTCCAAGTCATGAATCAAGTTAATTTGGTAGCACTGTCTTATGAAGACATGGTAGAAGTGAGACTGTAGGAGTAATCCTGCAGATGCAGTCTCTACCTTGTTAATTGAGGTTGGAGCCAGAGTGTTGCAGCTGTGGCCTTATCTTACCCTTTGAGGTATCTCTGGCCTCACAGGCCACTACAGGCCTCAGCCAGGACCAGTGATTCATAGAGGTTCACTTACTATGAATCAGTTCCTGACTCGAGGCAAGGGGCCTAGGCCTAGGACAGACTCACAGATAAACATAGAAAGCCAATTAGTAAAATTTAAATCAGAGCCACTTTGTAGTGGTCTCCAACGTAGTAGAAGTTATCATTTCTGATAAAATAGGCATAATTTATTACTTTTTGGTGATACACTGGAAAAATAGGTTTCTGGCAAATTACACAGATTATCCAACCCTTTTAAATATGAATGAGTTAGTTAAGGGGTGCTTGGGAGGTTCATTACACGTTATAGGTATTTCCATTATTTCTTGTGGGAAAATAATCTTGACTTACAACCTACTTGAATCACAGATAGTCTTGGAGAACAATTGAGTTTATAAGTAAAAGGTGCCTTGTAGCTAGAAATAAAGGACAAGGATACCTACTTTATGAGATCCAAGATCCAACAAGAAGAAAAAGGGACTCGGGAGGGGTCCAGATTTCAGATTTGGTACCTCAAGTCACACTGTCACGTCTTAATCAGATGCACCAAGAAGTGTGTTTTACTAATAGTCTGTACATCTCTTAAGTAAAACAATGTATTAACATGTGTATCACCTGATTCCAGCTAATGTTTTTCTAGAAATACTGATGTTGAAAGGTGCATAATTTCAACCTGTGATGAGCTGTGACAAGGCCAAGAGAGCGTACAGTATAAGGTCTTTATCCCAGCCTCAGCACCAGGAAGTGATCAGGTGAATCAAGTAGTGTTGCTGTGTCTAAATTGAATACCTGATTTTATTTTATTTGACCTTATTTTATTTTAATTAAGGGGTTTAAAGTTAACTTTTGGCCAGTGGGAGAAAAACCGAAATGTTAAGTCCGAAAGCTGAGACTGAGACCTTGACTGATCAGGGAGACGTCTGGCAAGAAGCTGAATAGGAGAACCAGGGCCACTCCCCTCTGCACTGGTATGTGGCAGAGTGGCCCATGGGAGCCCGGAGAGTGATAAACCCAGGGTGAGGAGCAGCAGAGAGCGTGAGCTCTGTGGTCCAGGTGGGCGGCTGGGCAGGCAGCAGAGGCTTAGGGGGAACATTTGGGGTGCATTGGGCCAGGGGTGCCTTGGTGCATCCATTGCCCAGGGGGCCTTCCCCCATCGGGTGTCCAGCCGTGACCGACACCGCTTTTATGGTTAGGAGAAAGGATGAGCCCAGAGAGCGGACCTGAGGAACAGTGGACTGCCGAGAGGACGGGGTTCCGCGGAGAGGGGAAGCCAGGGCTGCACCGTGGGGTGGGAGAGACGTCAAAGGAGCAAGGGAGAAAAGTCCAGAAAGGGAGCAAGCTTAGCAATCTCAAGCACCAAACATGAGGGAACTGGGGAGCTTCCTGGATGTAGAGCATCTTGTAGGCAGAGTTAGAAAAATAAAGAGGAAGACATGGAGATTGGGGCAGAGGGCTTTGCCAATCTGAAATCCCAGCAAGATCTGGCCCAGCAGAAGCTGCTGAAGCTGTGGAAACCGTGGTCTGAGGATGTTGCCAGATGACCTGAGCTGAGAGAGAGGTTCAAGAGAGCTTAAAACCTTCCAGAGAGAACTTGTCTTCCTTCCCGGACCTTGGCACCAAAATGTGGCATAAATAACCAGCGGAGTCCACCAGGCTGGGGTAAAGGGAACATGGCATGGAATTTATTGCGCCTGGGTTCAGGCGGAGAGCACCGTAAGACCTTCTGCCCCACCCTCGAAAAGAAAAACGTGTCCTTTCATAGGGATAGAGAGAAGGCAGGGGACATGAGACCGCAAGATCTCAGTGAACACCCGTAGTTATAAAAGTTTCCTAGAAACCTTGCATCTCAGTGGGCTGAATCCTTCAAAGTGTCCCTTGTAAATTTCTGGGCGTCTTCAGAACCCAAAGTTGCGCGTCCTATCTTATCTCCTTTCCCATGTTTGCCAATGACAGTCTTGGTGCTGAGCTGAGTTCCCTGCAGAGAGAAGTAATTCTGTCAAGCAGGCTGGGAGCTGAGAGAGTCAAGCCAGCTTGGACAGTTAGCGCTTTTTTGCTTGGAAATATGTTTATCTTCAAAATTCAGGTATTTTCTGGGAAAATGCCTACAGTTTGAGGGAGATGGAATGAGTGCTTCTCTTTTACCTTCACTCTTTTGCAGAATACTACCGTTATGCTACTCCATTATTTTCATGAAATTGTATTCCTAAGGGCCATATATTCATTTTCATAGGGGAAAATGAGTAACTGAGAGAGTGTGTGAAACTCTTGGCAGTGAAACCAACTGCCTCATTTCCAATAGCAGGTCTTGTCTTTATTCCATTTTGTATTAGGGTTATCTAAACTCGTAGTTGTTGTTTGTTTCTGTTCATTTGTTTTTGTATTGAGAATCAAACGAAGGCCCTCACACTTGCCAGGCAGACCCTGTTCCACTGAGGTACATCAAGGGCCATCGTATTTTCTGACATCAAGGGATTGATTCTTCCGCAAGGCATTGACCCTGGAACGGTTTGAGGACATTTGTAGCCACCCACTTTCAGGAAGAGTTCACTGAGTACATTAAGAAAACAATGAAAGTTTTGGAAAACCAGAATGAAAGCTTTAAGTGCAAACATTCTTCATGTGATGTGGGAGTGCCATCATGGGAGAGAGACTGGCCTATAAGTTTCTGGGTTTGAATTTATCATTTGAGCTCCACTCATTCTGGAAAAAGTTTGCTTCTTTTGCAGTGCTGTCGGTCTCTGGACCCTCAATGGAGAGCAGGAGCCAATCAACGATGAAGGCAGGTTATCTGAACCAACCAATCAGGTGTGGTGAGGGAGGAAGTCATTTCCGGTGTCGTGGCGCCAAACAGCACAGCCAGATCTCATTGCTGAGCGCTGCACCTGACTGCCCCACTGTTTCCTGTGCCTTCTGCTGGCTGCAACTACATTGGAAGGGTTGGAAGGATTGGGAGACTCTCACGCAGGGAGGACGGGTGCAGGGACAGAGTGGAATCAGATGAGTTCTGGAAGGAAGGCACCAGAGTGAGCTATGGCAATGAATCCTCTCTGCTTCGCTCCAGAATCAGATGAGTGTGGGGCTTTGTGAAACCCTTGGTTCTATATCCTGCAAAACAATTGTTGTTTTAATTGTTTATGTGAGACCACTACTCACAGTGGTGGTTGTTACAAGCTCAAAAACCCAAAATGTCAAGCAGGCAGTCATGAGTTCGATCCCCGGAACTGATAAAACAACAACGACACCAAAATGTGCTATACTTTATAACTTATTCTCTTCTTTAAAACTTGTGTAATTGCCAGTTAAGTTGCAACCTTGTAACATACCCATGTAACCCCCTCCTGTCTTCCCTGGTTCCTGTGTTCTGTCTCCCTGGTTCCTTTTATGGGGACAAACTGATCCTAAGACCCTGGCCCCTCCCCTTGCAGCTTGCTACTTTATAACTCCCTGCAGCCCCTGGCTCTACACACACTTCCCTGGCTGCTTTTCTGCGACAGTGCTGCCACTGAGCTCAGCTAATAAAGAGCTTTTTAAAACTTTTTGGAGTCCGTCATTTTTCTGTGCATATCATTTGGGGCTCCTCTGTCCAGGATTCCACCTTTTATGGGATTTACCCCTCCTCCCCCACTACTCTATATGATGTCAGGATCTTTTTGAATGCGACTTCCTTCTACCAGCAAGTACTTACTACTTTCATTTCACTCTGCAGTTTCTCCCTTTCTTATGTCCCGTGTCAAGTTTCCAGGAGATTTTGCCAATATTAGGGTGGGTTATTGCCATGTGAGGGAGAAATTGACCTCCACTGGGTGCAGGGGAGTCAAGCTTTCAGGCTTACTCCCATTTGATGACATGTCACCAAAACCTTGTGTTAGCTTTTGTCTTCTTGTTCTGTCCCGGATTCACCCATTACTGGAGAATTCTTGCAATTTAAGCCCGATATAATATGTAACCTGCCTCCTAGAGGTTTTTTAGTATCAGCTGATTAACTCAAGTTAACTAAATTAGATGATTTTTTTTTTTTGTGGGGCTATTAGGGTTACTCAATTGAAAAGCATGCTCTTCCCTAGGCTAGACTGAAGCTTGCAAAAATTTGTTATTTTAAAATTCATGGGGCAGGTCTGTGATCAACAAACAGAAGAGTGGCCACCTGGTAATTTTTTTTTTAAAGAGGATAAGATTAAACAGAATAAAACAGAACAAAACATCATAAGGAAACAATTTTAAGAAACACGGATTTCAAAGCAAGTCCACTGGAGATCTTCACTGTCTATCTTATTGTCTCTAGTTTTCTTCCAAATAGTTGTCCCCATCTTCACACACACTGAATACATACTTAATGTTATAGAACTAATCTAATCATAACAGGATGATGAAGGCTTTTTAGGTCTTCAAGACCTGACATTGGGGAAGTCAATAATGACTGCCATAATGTCTCTCATTCTCTTCAAAGTAGCTGTCTTTATCTTTACATATGCTGAAATTGAACATAAGAGACTAGACTAGTATCACTCTAAACAGTGAGTAATAGTATTGCTAAATTTTACATCATAATGCTACAGAACTAGCACTTGTATCTTAGTGTCTCTCCTTCTTCAGTGTATCTGTTCGTTACATTGTGCATTATATAATCTGTTCCCATAAACTGCTTAGAAATTCTCCCCATGTGTGAATCTCTATATGTATATCTATCCTTTCTGCATTATAGGAAAAAACAGATCAAAATAAGACAACAAAACAAATTCCTAGAAAAACATGAAATGAAAAAGATATATAAAACCACATTATTAGGTGATGTACAATAGTTAACTATGCTTTCTATTGTTATTTTCAATAGAATTGTCCACATCATTGGACATAATATAATTGAACATAGCATTACATAGCTATTTCAATGAAAACACAGCATTGGAGACATTGTACGACTTCAAAGGCAGTTAATAATCAACCCAGAATGGGTATCATTGCATTATGTCATCTTCAGAGTAGTTGCCTCTACTCTTAGACTTGATACTATCAAGCATATCAAATTCAAATAAAATCAGTCAAGGCAAAACAGTGGTCTAACAAATCAGCTTCAAATAAGATCAGTCATAGCAAGTCAATGTAAGTAAAAAAGGGCTTCAGTTTAAGTTAATAGGAAATTAAGGATAGTTACTGTGGTATAGCCTGTTACTTTTGGGATAGCTATCTGTGTCTTCAAATCTAGTATGAGTAGACAGACCAGAACAAAATAAAATCAAACTAAATAGAGCGATAAGACTACTGTGGCTTTTAAATCCTGATACACTATTAACAATGTCCTCTGCCTTCCTTTTTTTAAGCAATTACTCACCTTTCCCTTTCTCAAGATGCTTTGTATATTTTGGGTCCCACTAGCTCCTTTAGTTATTAGATTAGGTGGTCAACCTGTTATCTATCTGAGTAGTGCTGAACCTATTTGATTGATCTTGAGCTGTATTTCTTTACTTACTAAAGCCACAAGGTTTTCCTTCCTTCTAGCTGTGTAGTTCTACACTGCACAAAAGTGTCATAACTTTCCAACCTATCAGTGGTTGCTGGATGAGTTGTCCCTATTTCTCTCTTGTTTCGTCACATAGAGCATCATTTTATCATCTTTGGCTTTCAGTTTATTAACCCTCTTTCATGTTGAGTATATTTCCTATTCAGAGCATCTCAGTGAAGTGAATCGTGCCTCCTTATCTACTCCACCTGTGTTTCTTTTTGTTAGTGTATCAAGGCTATCTATATTGGAGATTATAGCTCCCCTTCTCTGCCTCATCTCTGCTATGCTATTTTTCTGCTATTATTTGTCCATTTTTCTCCTTCATTTCACCGTCTGACCCATTCATTGAGGCTTCTCTGCCACTGTTGCTGAAATCCTGGTATTTTTTTTCTCTCTCTCTCTAGAATGTCCTTCACTATTTTTTAATAGGGTTGGATTGGTGGCTATGACCTTCCACAGTTCCTCCTTGTCTTGGAAACATCTTATTTCTCCATTACTTTTGAGAGAGAGTTTCTCAGGATACATAAATCTGGGTTAGAGGTTATTTTCTTTCAGGGCCTGGACTATTTCCCCCCAGACTGTTCTTGATTTGATAGTTTGTGTTGATAAGTCTGTCATTATTTTGATGCTTTTCTTTGTAGGTGATCTGCTTCTTTTCTCTGACTGCTTTTAATATTCTGTTCTTGTGGTGGATTTCTGGGATCTTGCTTATTATATGTCTGGATGTAGATCTGTTTTGTTTGTAGTTGGTTGTTTGTAGTTGGTTAGATAAATGTATGCCTCATTTATCTGGATATCATTTCTTTTTCCTAATGCTTAGAAAGTTTTCCTTAATTATTTTCGTGAATAGCCTTTGTAATTAATTTGTGGCTACCCCTGCTTCTTCACTCACATTTTTTATTCTTTTTTTTTTTTTTTGTCTTTTTCATTACCAGGGATCGAACTCACAACTGCACACTTGCAAGGCAGGCACTTATGCTGCTGAGCTAAATCCCCAGCCCTACATTTTTAATTCTTAAGTTATTGATCCTCTTGTCATCTTCTAGTCTTTGAATTGTTACTTTCTGGTTCCTTGTTATTTTTAATAGGTATTTTCTTTCACGATCACACATTGTAAATCTCTCTTCAAGTTTCGAAAGGCTAACTTTAGTTTCTGTCAGGCATTTTGCCAGCTTTCAGTGGAGTTTTAATTTCCTGGTAAATCTCTTTGGATCTATTTCATGTATTCTAGATTTTGTTTATATTCTTCACCAAAGGTTTTTCTTCCTTTTCTGGGTTCCTCCATTCTTACATCTGTGTCTTCTTCAGAGGGGCTTAGCATTTCTTTTATTAATCTTTTTATATCTTGCCTCACTTGGATTAGAATTTCAGTTTTAAGTTTGTATATGAGGTCACAAAGGTATTTCTTTATGTTTGCTGATGCTATGGCCAATACTGCATGATTGCTGCACTAGTCCTCTTCTGTATTTACCTCTCCTGGGCTTATTTTCCTAGGGTCAGTGGCTGGAGGCTTTTTCTTATTTTTTTTCTCTGGTCATGTTTCTGGTTTCTTTCAGACTGGTATGTGGTGGAGGTTTCAGGCCCTCTCTGTATTGTTTATGGTTTTTCCAAAGTGGCCACCTGATAATTTTAACCAGCTCCTGATTGCAAAATTGAGGCCCTGCTCCAGTCTCCATAATCCTTTGCGTGATTCTTTGTCTTTGTGGCAGGCTTCCACCATCTCGTCTTTGTTCACTTTTCTGCATCTCATCTTGAGTGTCTACTATTGTAAGCCAAACAGCTTCCTCGCCTTTGTCACCCTTGCAACTCACTCTTAATGATTTTAAGGATTTTAGGGATCGAGCTGCCAGATATGGAGAACCTGTCTACCATAAGAAGCTAAGAACATGCTGTGAACTCAAATGGCCTTCCTTTGGTATTAAATGGTCTTCACAAGGAACTTTTAACTTACAAGTCTTTCAACAGGCCCATCAAGTCATTTCCAGATAAGCCTGGCATGCACCCTGGTTAAGTAGTCTAGTGACTAGGATTCGGCGCTCACCCATCGGCCAACTGGGAATAACTGCCAACAACTTTTGCAGACTTTCTTCACATCTGAGGAACGCGAGCAAATCTGCACTTTGGCATGCAGATCTATCCTCAACACTAACGGGAAACCCACTTCTGATCTAATGAGGCTCTATGCTGTTTTTCCTTTGACCCACACCAACTGGGACCCCAACACGGAGGTAAGGAGGCTCTCGATCAGTATCATCAGACTCTTCTTGTGGCACTCCAAGCTGCTACCTGGAAGCCAACTACTATCTCAAAAGTAACTGAGGTAAGACAATTGGCTTCTGAGTCTCCGTCAGCTTTCCTTGAGTGCCTCCTAGAGGCCTATCGTATATATACATCTATAGACCCAGCAGCACCAGAGAACAGATGAACTATTAATATAACATTTATCTCTCAGTCAGCCCCCGATATTAAATGAAAATTCCAAAAATTTGAGGGTTTTAAAGGAATGATGATGGGCCAATTAATAGAGATCACTCAGAAGGTTTTTGACAACAGGGAAGACCCACAAGAGAAAAAAAATTAACCAAGATATTGGCTCTACTGGTGGAAGGGCATACTCAAGTCAAAAAGGGAAAAGACCAACAAACAAGGGCCCCACTAGACAAGAATCTGTGTGCATATTGCAAAGAATTGGGCCATTGGATAAAGGATTGCCCAAAGTTAAAAGCCAGATTAGAGAAAGGGGAAACCACCCCCTTGGGTCCTATTGAAAAAGATTGACAATTTCAGGGTTCATCCACTTCCCCCAAGTCCCAGGTAACCTTAACTGTGTGAAGAGGGGAAGCCATAGATTTCCTGGTGGATACTGGTCTTAACTGAGTTGACACAACCCCTCCATGCTGCAATTGGGAGAACCCCTTCTGACCCACCCATTTGGACCAAGAGGGAAAGCCAGCTATTCCAAAAACTAAAATTGACCCTTGCCCAAGCCCCAACATTGGCATTGCCAGATTTGACCAAACCCTTCCTGCTGTTCATT